TGACTTCCAGGCCAAGGGGGGCCTGGAGCAAGGCCGGCTCCCCAGGGGTGACAGGACAGAGGGGACGTGTCTGGAGCCCAGCTCCCCCCCTCCCGTCCCCCCTTCCCGGCTTCCGCACACCTCAGCTAGCTCTCCCTACCCCCCCTTGCCCCCCCTCCCCGGGTCCTCCATCCTGTGGAGGAGCTGGTTCTGGAAGCCACCTCCTGCCAGGAGGACCCTCTGTTGTGGAAATGGGGGTGTCCACCTTCTCCGGAGTTTCCGAGTTTCTCGCTGGGGTTGTGGAGGCTGGCGGCTTGCACGGGGTGGGGCTCAGGTTGAGGCTGTCCACGGGGGTGCCCACGGCCTTCCCAGCCCTGGGGGTCCGGATGGAGCCCCACCCTGGCCCCCATCAGCAAGAAGGATGCTGGGGGCCACTAGTGCCTGCTGTGTGACTCTGGGCACCCAGAGAGGAGACCCCAGACACCCCCCCCCCCGCCAGTCCTCCCTTCTCGATGTCATTCTGCAGCATCGAGAGTGGCTGTGTGTGTATTGAGCATCTACTGTATTTCAGAGCGATGTCTTCATGAAGCTCAGTCAGCCAGGGAGTCGAAGGCAAAAACAAACAGACCAAAAAGAAAACAACAACTTAATTGCTTTCTTTATTAATTATGATTAAAATGAAAATGATTTTCGGGGAGCCCTGAAGACACTCTAAAGGGAATCCAACCTAGCAAGGAGGGGAGCTCAGCCAAAGAAAATGCTGAGCCTAAGTACAGAGGTGGAGAAGAGCATTCAGGTCCAGGGAATAGCATGTGCCAAGGCCCTGCGGCAGGCAAGCATGGTGTTGAAACCTCTGAAAGGAGGCTGGAGGCGTGGCTAGAGCCTCGTGGCGAGGAGGAAGGCAGGCCGTCCGCATCTCGGGCGGACTGTGGCTTTGTCTGTGTGTCATGGGGATGCGGGCTCGACTTGAAATCCATGTGTAAGACACCCCTCGGTTGCTGCGTGGAAAATGGATGGGGTGGGGGGGTCGGACCCATGAGCCAAGAGGGCAGTCGCTGTGGATAGGAGATGAACTTTTCTTTGGATAGAGGACCCAGAGGAGAGCAGGAGACAGGACACAAAGGGAAAGCAGAGATGGCAGGGTCCTACCCTGAGCACCGACTGTGTGCCCAGCAAGTCATTCAAATCCTCACAAGGGGCTGCGGCCTGTGCTGTGGAGGAGGTGGAGGACTCCCGGCGAGCAAGTGGAGGAGCCGAGATGTCAACCCCGGAAGGCTGTCCCTGTGCTCCCAGCATGCCAAGTTCTCCCACAGTGTGTGTCGGTGTAAAACTAAAACTTTGAGTGACTCCGCCTCCACGCGAACACTGTTCTCCAGACTGCAGTGAAAACGTCTGCGTCAAAACTGACCACGGCCACCTTCCCCCAGAGACCACGCTTCTGTGAGTTTGGAGCAGATTCCCGCAGACCTCGCGCACACGTGCACGAACACGCCCCTAGGAAACACTGGCAGACGTTTTGCAGAGGTGCTTGCGGAGGAGACAGCGGTTTTGCAGAGGTGCTGTGCAGAGTACATGAGGCTTTACAGAGGTGCTGTGCGGAGTAGACTGCTGTTTTGCCGAGGTGCTATGCAGAGTGGATGAGGTTTTGCAGAGGTGCTGTGCAGAGTACATGAGGTTTTGCAGAGGTGCTATGCAGAGTAGATGAGGTTTTGCCGAGGTGCTGTGCAACGTAGATGAGGTTTTGCCGAGGTGCTGTGCAGCGTAGATGAGGTTTTACAGAGATGCTGTGCAGAGTAGATGAGGTCTTGCAGAGGTGCTGTGCAGCGTAGATGAGGTTTTGCAGAGGTGCTGTGCAGAGTAGATGAGGTCTTGCAGAGGTGCTGTGCAGCGTAGATGAGGTTTTGCAGAGGTGCTGTGCAGCATAGATGAGGTTTTGCAGAGGTGCTGTGAGGAGTAGATGAGGTTTTGCAGAGGTGCTGTGCGGAGTAGATGAGGTTGTTTTGCAGAGGTGCTGTGCAGAGTAGATGAGGTTTTGCAGAGGTGCTGTGCAGAGTAGATGAGGTTTTGCAGAGGTGCTGTGCAGCATAGATGAGGTTTTGCAGAGGTGCTGTGTGGAGTAGATGAGGTCTTGCAGAGGTGCTGTGCAGTGTACCCGGAGCGGACCTGCCCTCGGCACTCAGAACCGTGCCTTCCTCGCTGAACGTCTGCCTGGAGAGCCTTCTGTGTGAGTTCGTGGAAGCGGCTCCCATTTTCCACCCTCAGTCTGGAACACGGGACTTTGTGTGCCGCAGTTGTGCAGCCCACTTGCTTTTCAGGGCAGAACTTCGGTGTGTTTGTTGGTTGCTTCTGTTTTGTTTTATAAATGTAGCTTTCAAGGGGCGTAGAGCGATGTGTTTCTTCCGTTACATTTATGGAAGGAGGAACCCGCATCGCACTGGCGCACAAACGCTTGGCGACAGGCAGCCTGGTGACTGGGTCTCCCCGAGTCCCGCCCGGCGGGCGGCCAGCGCGCGCAGAGCTCTCGGCATGCAGCCTCTGTGCAGCAGGGTCTGTCCGGAGAGCAGCGGGGAACGCACAGGACCCGCTCTGATCTCAGCTCTGGGTCCGCGTGGCCCGATGCAGAAAGAGGACAGGTGTGGAAACCCAGAGATCTGGGTTCGAGTCCTAGCTGGGTGAGGTCCCCCAGTGGGTGGGGTGAAGCTGCCCGGCCCCCCCACTGGAGGAAACAGGCTCAGAGTGGGCATCGAGGCCGAAGCGAACTGAGCACCTTCTGCCTTCCAGGAGTAAAGAGCAGCCCCAGCCCTGAGGCTTCTCTGGTCCCTGGAAGGACAGAGAACCTGTGTGGTGATTGGATTGGGAGCTGGCAGTCACTGCTTCGCCCGAGCGCCCGCCCTCCTGAGCCAGGCATCTGCTGGAGATCCCTGCATATGTCACATTTGTGACAATGTTCCTTTTTTCTTCCCTTTTTTTCCCAACCACTGACACCAAAGAAAAACTCTGGTAGCCCCAGGCTGCTGTTTGTTTGCTGCTTTCAAAGACAGAGAAGAGAAAAGCAGGGGGTTGGGACGTTGGCTGAGCAACGGCTCAGGGGCTGAGAGGAAAATCCAGCTGTGCCCAGGACAACTGAGAGGGAATCAGCGGGGTGACAGCAGTGGCCGCCACCACCAAGCCCCACCCTACGCGGGGCTCTCCTCACGCCAGCGCCAGGACCCCCAGCTGGTGGCCCTAGGGGAAGAGTTTGGAGAAGCATCCCGGTGTGTGCACGCAAGCCCACAGCCACCAGCTGTTTCCAGATGAGTCCTTCGTGTGGCCTGTGGGGAAACTGAGGCCCAGAGAGGGGAAGGGGCTTGTCCAAGGTCTCCTGCTGTTCCTCTGCTCACCGTGAGGCCCCTCAGCCCCCCTTGTGCCATGGGGGGGGGAGGGGACACTCTGCTCTGGCCCCTCCCCCTTCCAGCCCAGGGCTGAGGGGGATCACACTGGCAGCCTAGGGGTCACACTGGCAGCCTAGGGCAGAACCAGCCCCAAGCATGTTACATTTGGCCCTGAAATGTTCTCTATGGAGAGATTTCACAACAAATTCTGGCTGTCCAGTTTGGAAGCCAAGTACCGGTGCTCACACCTGTAATCCTAGCTACCCAGTTTGGCTGAGATCTGAGGCTCACAGTTCAAAGGCAGCCTGGGCAGACAAGTCTGTGGGATTCTTATCTCCAATCCGCCATCAACAAGCCAGAAGTGGAGCCATGGCTCAAGTGATAAAGTGCCAGCCTCGAGTGAAAATGTTAAAGGACAGCACCCAGACTGCGAGTTCAAGACCCAATCCTGGAAAACAAAAATGCTGTCTGGCTGCAGGCGCTGCTGTATGCCAAACTACTCCATAGGTTAGCTCTGACCACCACACCACCATGCACGTCAGAAGGAGAATCCGAGGCTCAGAGAAGTAAGAGCCAGCAGCTGAGATCCACAGCCAAGCAGTTTATAGTAGAAAATTAAAACAACCTAGTCAAGCACTACTACTTCACTGGCCAGGAGACTGGGAAAATGCAGGGCAGGCTCCCCGGAGTGAGCCTAGGTGGTGCCAGGCTGTGGGTTCACATCCCCGGCCACCAAAACAAGTACTGCTTCACAGCTCTGATGACCAGAACTCAAAAGCAGGCAGGAAGCTGGGCCCTGGTGGCTCACGCCTGTCATCCTAGCTACTCAGGAGGCTGAGATCTGAGGATCATGGTTCAAAGCCAGCCCGGGCAGGAAAGTCCATGAGTCTCTTATCTCCAATGAACCACCAGAAAACTGGAAGTGGTGCTGTGGCTCAAGCGGTAGAGCGCTGAGCTTGAGCTGAATTGCTGAGGGACAAGCCCCATGACTGACCTCTGTCCAAAACTGGCAAGAATCTCCTTCCCTCCCTTCCCTCCCCCGTGGCCGCCTCCAGCTCCCGGTAGACGCACATTCGGTGACTCGGGGTGGCTGTGTCACTCAGAACCACCTGCAAAGTCCATCCTAGCTAACCCAGGGTGGCACCGTAGTGTACAGAGGCTCTGGCCCCTGCCACATCCACGGGGCCCGGGTTGGGCGTGGGAATTCAGGAGTCTCTGCCTTGTTATGGTGCCACTTAGAGTTTCTGTGCTGTCTTCCTTTTCTCACGTTTGCAATGGTCAGCCACGGGACCGTTCTGTTTGTTGTCAGAACCCCATTCAGGGGCCACGGGAGGTGTTTGGATGTCATGACAGCGGCCGCGGGTGGGTTTCCCACCAGCTGCGGGTGATGGCGTGTCCTAAGAGGACTCCGTGGGCTCGGGTCCCGTGGAGGGAATGGACTGAACCATGCGGGCTGTGGGCAGGGAACCCCACAGCGAGTCGGAGCACCCAAGCCCTCGCCCCCCCACACGCACGCTGCCTCTGGCACTTCACGGGAACCCACCTAGGGTTCAAGGCCCCTGGGCCAGGAGTCTGGAAGGTTCCTGGCCTGCGATCCCACCCAGGCCCCAGCCCAACCCGTCTGCCCCCCCCTCCCCACTCCGCCCCCAGGTCTGCCGGGCACCGCGCCGGACCTGGAAAAGAGGAAGCAGATTTTTGGGCAAAACTTTATACCTCCGAAGAAGCCAAAAACTTTCCTGCAGCTGGTGTGGGAGGCGCTGCAGGATGTGACGCTCATCATCCTGGAGATTGCCGCCATCATCTCCCTGGGCCTGTCCTTCTACCACCCACCCGGGGAGAGCAATGAAGGTAGGAGGGACGGGGTGGCCGCCAGGCATGTGGGGGGGGGGGGGGGCTCCCAGGCACTCCGGAGGGCGCCCAGGATTCAGGACTCACCCAGAGACAGGGAGCAGCCCAGCGGGGCCCAGAGCTTCCCGGGTATGAAGTACAAGAATTAGACCCCATAGGGATGGCCACCATGAGCATGTGTACCCCGGTTCTGAGCAGAAGCCACAGCGCCCATCTCACAGATGAGGAGCCCGAGGCTCACGGAGAGCAGGGTCCCGGGCTCACGGCATCCCCGTGACTACGTTGTTTTGTTTTGCCAGAGCCAAACACCACAGAGGGGGTAATTTTAATGAGCAGAAAGGCTCCATGTTCTGGCAGGCCAGCGTTGCCCAGGAAACCATATAATCAAGTCATTTAAGCCAACAGCTCCAATCTTACGAGTCATAATACTACTCAAGTTGATTTTTCTGTCCCCCACAGAGGGTTTAAAGAATGAGAGGGGAGCTGGGAAGTTGGCTCCGTGGTGGAGCGCTCGCCTTGAGCTGAGGAGCTGAGGGACAGCGCCCAGACAAATAAAATAAATAAATACAAATAAAGCCATGAGAGGAGGACACAACTCACATAATGGGGCCGAATCAGCCCGGCTGGAAAAGGAAGGGAAGCGAAACAAGCCAGCGATCACTGATACCATGATTGAGCTTCCAGGCAGCCAGGGCAGGAAAGGAAGTTAGATGATTCGAACAGTCAAGTGATCAATGAGGAGGAAGATGGCTTGTCTCCTGATGACAAACTCTGAGATGGACTTTCTCGAGGACGTTGTAGGAGACGCACAGTGGGCAGGCTTCTCTGTGACGTTCTATGGCGGATGGTGAGGTTCAGACGTGGCTACACAGAGTAGGACCACAGTTATTTCTGTGCCGTCCTGACTTGGGAAGGGGCCTGGTCGGAGCTGGTGTCACCTGTGGCAGGGGGCGTGTGGGCAGGTGTCCCCTCTACCCCGCAAGCTGAGGCAGTGAGCGCAGGAGCCCCCGCTGGGACCCAGCAAGCCACGCCGCTCCTGGGCCTGTCCTCGGGCGCGCTGCCTCGGAGAGGGCCGGGCCGAGGCACACAGACCCACGGCCTCCCGTGGCCTCCCGGGCAGGACTAGCTCAGAGGGCCGCTGGCGGAGGGCGAGGCAGAGATGTGGGGGTGACCCCCATCCAGACGGAGCAGAGACCGAGGCCTGGGCCGGGGCAGCGCTGCCCAGACCCCGGGACTGTAGGTGGTCGGGCTGGAGTCACGAGCACCAGCATGCATGTGTCCAGTTTGGGCCCTGTACCTCAGCATCTTAATCCTTCCTGTGACAGGACTGCTGCCCTGTGCTGAGTAACACGGGCAAGGCACACAGTAGGTGCTTTACAGGGTGCTGTGCTCAGTGACACGGGAAAGGCACACAGTAGGTGCTTTATAGGGCACTGTGCTGAGTGACATGGGCAAGGCACACAGTAGGTGCTTTGCAGGGTGCTGTGCTGAGTGACATGGGAAAGGCACACAGTAGGTGCTTTGCAGGGTGCTGTGCTGAGTGACATGGGAAAGGCACACAGTAGGTGCTTTGCAGGGTGCTGTGCTGAGTGACATGGGCAAGGTACATAGTAGGTGCTTTGCAGAGTGCTGTGCTGAGTGACATGGGCAAGGCACACAGTAGGTGCTTTGCAGGGTGCTGTGCTGAGTGACACAGAGAAAGGCACACAGTAGGTCCTTTATAGAGCACCGTGCTGAGTGACATGGGCAAGGCACACAGTAGGTGCTTTGCAGGGTGCTGTGCTGAGTGACACAGGGAAAGGCACACAGTAGGTCCTTTATAGAGTACCGTGCTGAGTGACACGGGCAAGGCACACAGTAGGTGCTTTGCAGGGTGCTGTGCTGAGTGACATGGGCAAGGCACATAGTAGGTGCTTTGCAGTGTGCTGTGCTGAGTGACATGGGCAAGGCACACAGTAGGTGTTTTATAGAGCGCTGTGGCTCCACCACTTCAAAGGATTTTATTGGGTGTCAGGCCCTGGTGCCCACGTGGTAGGAGGCATCTTCTTTTTCCTGATGAATAGGCAGGCTGGGGTTCAGGGGTCTGGGGAGTTCCCCGAGGCCCTGCCGACAGGGACAAGCTGCAGCTCACACTCCCCAGAGCAGGCAGAGCAGCGGCTCCCGGGCTCCTGTCCCAGGATCCCCAGAAAGACTTCAGGAGAGTCTGCTGTGCCTCCTGCCTCCCCCCCCCCCAGCCCCTGCCCACCACACCAGGGCTGTTCCCAGGGTCCTGCACCCCGAAGGCTAAGGCCCAACTCTGCAGCACACCATCTCTTCTACCACACCAAGACTCAGTGGAACCCCCGCCCCTGGAAGTTTCTCAGGATTGATTTCTCAGGAAATCAAGCTAGTGAGCAGGGGGGGAAGGGGGGGCTTGCACGCAAGGCCTGGGCGCTGTCCCTGAGCTTTTGTGCTCAAGACTAGTGCTCTACCACTTGGAGCCACAGCGCCACTTCTGGCTTCTTGGTACTTAATTGGCCAGAGTGGCTGAGAACCATGATCCTCAGATCTCAGTCCCCTGAGTAGCTAGGATTGCAAGTGCTGTCATCTCATTTTGCAGATGAGAAAAGGAAAGCATTTGGTAGCATAACAGGATTCAAACTCAGGGCTAACCTAACTTCCTGATTCAAAAGCAGGGTTGGCACTCTACTTCTTGAGCCACAGCCCTGCTTCTGACTATTTGATGGTTAATTGGACATAAGAGTCTCATGAACTTTCCTGCCTGGGCTGGCTTCAAACCAGTCTTAGATCTCAGCCTCCCGAGTAGCTAGGATGACATGAGTTGAGCCACCGGCACCCAGCTTCACAGGTGAACTTTAAACCCAGACTGTGGCCCCTCCGACCTGGGGACGTTTTTCACCCGCTTCCTTCTGCTCCCTGCAGGGTGTGCAACAGCCCAGGGAGGGGCAGAGGATGAGGGAGAGGCGGAAGCCGGCTGGATCGAGGGGGCTGCCATCCTCCTCTCCGTCATCTGCGTGGTCCTGGTCACCGCCTTCAATGACTGGAGCAAGGAGAAGCAGTTCCGAGGTCTGCAGAGCCGCATCGAGCAGGAGCAGAAGTTCACTGTGGTCCGGGCCGGCCAAGTGGTCCAGATTCCTGTGGCTGAGATCGTGGTCGGGGACATTGCCCAGATCAAATATGGCAAGTGTCCCCAGCATGGTTCTAGAACTAGAGTCTCGGCAGAAGGGAGCCACGCCAGGACAGGGCAGACAACCTGGCTTAGAAGCCAAGTGAGTCCCTGAAGGACTGGCCCAAGCCAGTCTGTGATCTGAGGTCCTGGAGGAGCTAGGACTCCCGAATCCATTCAAGCCAGAAATCAAATGCATGACACACGTACCACTCTCTGCGCACGTCTACCCATAGCAGACATTACTAATGGATCCCAGCTCTGCGGCCTCCCCAACACAACATTCCAAGCTTGTGAGTTCCATTTTCCATGCCTGAGGCGGCCGTGAATGCGCTAGAGGAGGTGTTAGAGGAGGCAGAATGCTCTGGGCCTGTGACAAATGAGAAGGAGGGTAGGCTGGGTCCAAGGGAGGCAGGGGAGGACTACATGTGTGCTGGGTAAGTAGAGGCAGGCAGTGGGAGAGAGATCAGCGCACCCCTCCTCCCTCAGCCCCACGGGGCTTGATTAGCTGGGCCTTCGCAGCCCTCAAGGCACAACCTAGACACTTAAGAACTTCCCCTAACTATCCAGCCAGGCCAGGCGCTGCTTGTTTTGAAGGACAGGGGTAGGCCTGCTATTGGGCCCAGTCCCTGCCCTGCAGGCCGGGACCTCCTCCAGGGCCTGGGTCGCAAGCTGCCAGCCACCGCAGCCACGTTGGTTCTGCACACTGAGTGCCCCCAGCCTGGGTGGCCGCCCCAGACGCTACTGACCGCTCCCTCCCTCCGCCAGGCGACCTCCTCCCTGCCGACGGCCTCTTCATCCAGGGCAACGACCTCAAGATCGACGAGAGCTCCCTGACCGGCGAGTCGGACCAGGTGCGCAAGTCCGTGGACAAAGACCCCATGCTGCTGTCAGGTGAGCTAGCCAGCGGGCGCCAGGGAGGGCGCAGGCCGCATCCGGTGTCCCCAGAACCCTGAGGTGCATGCGCCGTGGCCGGCATCCTCACACGGGAGTTCCCGAGAGCTCGGCCTCCAGCGAGAACTCCGTCCGTTTCTCCTAGTCCACAGCATCCCGGTCCCCTAGAGCATCCCCTCCCGGGACTGAGAAAGAATCTACCGGGCGACGGCCTCACACCAGGCAGAGGGGACAGCAGAGGGAAAGGCCCGCAGATGGGAGCGCGCTGGAGAGTCTGGGAGCAGATGGAGAAAGTGGGGGACGGGAGGGGCAGGTGTCCCCAGCCTCCTTCGGAGTCGAAGCTCTCCAGAGGGGTTTTAAGGGTGGCTGGCTACATTGGCGTTCTAAACGCTGGTGTAGGGGACAAGACCTGCAGGGTCAGGGAGCAGCCAGGAGGGTCAACCTCCCTGCACAGACCAACCCTCCCCAAACCTTGCTTGTCTGGTAGGGCTCAGCAAACATCCCCTGAGCCTCTGCTCTAGGCCAGGTCGGGACCAGGCCCTGGGACCTGCGCAGTAATTCACTCCCAGCCCCCGTCCTCGGGACCTCAGCCCGGGTGTGCTTGGGGGAGCAGACTGACGAACAGTTCGTCTGCAGCAGAGGTGTGAGAAGGTGCAAATCCCCAGCGGAGGTGGCGCTAAGCTGGGTTTTAGAGTGTGAATAGGAGTTTGCTGAGTCCAGTTACGGAGAAAGGGCTTCCTAGCAGAAGTAATGACGTGCAACAGTCCAGTAGTTTGAAGGGGTGCAGAAGGTTCTAGAAATGCAAAGGGGAAGGAAGCACATACTGTGCCCTGGGGTTGATGGGACACACAAGGTCCCTGCTATGCTGAGTGAGGGGAACAGAGCGAAGGAAGGAGGGAATAGACAGGAAAGATGAGGGCACATGGAGGGGTGGGAGGGAGGCCCTGGAGCTAGGATGGGGAGTGGAGGCCGGCCAGGGAAGGCCTGTCTGAGCTAAAACCAGAACAGTGAGGAGATCACTCCCAGAGCACCTGAGAACCGAGCCAGGGGCGTCCTGAAGAACGTCATCTCAAGACGAGTCTCCACAGACGCGCGCGCACGTACACACACACACACACACACACACACACACACACACACGCGGTGTGTGACCCTTCACTGCTAGGGAGAAGCCCGTTCTCAGGGAGCGCAGAGCTGCGGCTGGGACTCAGCGGCCGCCCCCTCCTCAGGTACCCACGTGATGGAGGGCTCAGGGCGCATGGTGGTGACGGCCGTGGGAGTGAACTCTCAGACGGGCATCATCTTTACCCTGCTGGGGGCCGGAGGAGAAGAGGAAGAGAAGAAAGACAAAAAAGGTGAGCCCGCCCTCCTGCACACCCACGGGAGAGGAGCTTCTCAGGCCACGCTGTTTTGTTGTTGGTTACGAGTTCACTCCACGCGGTGAGGGAGAGCCTCTGTGTCCACGCGGTGCCCGCGCCCCTCCTGCGCCCCGAGGCCCTGCGGTCAGGCGGGCTGTCTGTTCCATCTCCGGGGTCTTGTCCCAGTCTCCGTGTTGTCCAGTCATGTCGTGGACCCCCCCTTGCCCTCCCAGGTCAGGCCCAGGGTGCTGAGTGTGTTCCTGGGGCTCTGGCTGGGGCAGTAGAAGCAGCCGGCGTGAGCCGGCCTCTGCGTACCCCGATCGTCAAGTTCATGCTTAGGAATGTTCCTTCCACTGAGCAGAGCTAAAGCCCGGACTCCATCTGCCCTGTACTCCGGGGAGAATCCCCGGCGCCCAGAATTGCTGGGGTCTGGGAGAGGGAGAGGAGAGGCCAGTGACCCTCCATGAGGACAGAGCCCATCTCTGGTCAGTCCCCTCCCAAGATTCCGGCTCTCCTCATTCCCCAGAAGAACGATAGCGCTAAGCTGATGTCCAGCCTGGAGAGGTTGCCAGGGGAGAAGAGTCCAGTGACAGGACCGGGGTGGGGGGGGGGGGGACACGGGGGTCGAGGAGTGTAGTCCCAGAGGACGCCATGATAGTGACCGTGCGCCAGGTGAGCATCTGCGCCCAGGGTGGCCGGGCTGGCCAGGGCAGGCCATAGGCAGCGGGGCAGATCTGAGCAGTCAGGTAAGACGCAGCAGCCTCTGGGACCGGCTGAGGAGCAACCCCCCCCAGTGCCCACGGTCCAGCCCCATGTCTGAAAACCCAGGATGAAGGTAGGTCTCAACAACCCCAGGAGTCTGTTCAGGGTCCCTCGCTAGACACGCACCCGTGAGGCAGGGCGCGGGGGGCCTTGGCTTCCTGTGGGGAGAGGAAGTGGGGTACCACCCGAAAGACAACTCAGTCAGGGCTGGGCCTCCCCCTGCCCCATACCTCAGCCAGCTAGAGAGGTCACGTAGAGCCTGCCAACCGCGCCTTCCCATCTCCTGTGTGTGTGCGTGCGTGTGCGTGCGTGTGCGCAGAAGACATGGGCATGTGTGCTTCTTCATTAACATGTCTCAAAATCATCACACAGGTGTGCAGAAGGGGGATGGCGTTCAGCTACCAGGTACAGTAAGACCCCCCCACCCGGGCGAGGGGCCGGGGGAGTCAGCTGCAGCCTTAGCACCAGGCCTGACACCAGACCAGTCACACACCCTGACGAGGCCACAGCCCGCTGGGCTCTCCGTCCCGCACCCCCCCACAGATGCCCCTCTGTGCCCCTTGTACCGTGCCAGGGGGGCAGGACTGGCCAGCTCCCCTCTCTGCCCTTCCATGACTTCACTCCATGGCCAACGTCAAGTAGCCATCTGCCCACCGGCCTCCGCCTGGCCACACCACAGCACCTCTGCACCCCACAGAGCCCCCCAAACCCCCCCCCCGCACATGGCCGACCTGCTCACCAGTCCCTCCTCCTCCCCCTCCTCCTCCCCCTCCTCCCTTCCTCCTCCTCCTCCTCCTCCTCCCCCTCCCCCTCCTCCTGCTCCTCCCCCTCCCCCTCCCCCTACTCCCCCTCCCCCTCCCCCTCCTCCCCCTCCCCTTCCCCCCCTCCTCCTCCTGCAGAAAAAGCAAGCAGGGGCAGACATGCCGCCCCTGCCATCTCATCTCAGTCTTTGATAAACACCTTCCCGGTGTCTTTGAGGTGGCCTTCTCGGCAGCGGCAGCGGCTGATCCCACGTGGAGGCTGGTTGGAGGAGGAGGACGGGCCACAGGCAGAGGCCTGATCTTAGCCTCCAGCACGCAGCACCCCTCTAGGACACCCCAACCCCGCACTGGTGCCCACTGCCCCCCCCACTCACAGAACTCTGGGTGTTGATTCCCCCGCGGTCCCGCCTCTGTGGACAGCTGGACCCCGTGGCCCAGCTGGGGGCTCCACCTGACCGGCTGGGCTAGCAGGGCTGAGAGAGCCCCCCAAATTAAAATGCCATCCTCCTGAGCCCCTCTCGTGCTCCATGCTTGGTGCTGAACACCCCTCACATCTCCATGGGAGCATTTCCCCCCCCCGCCCCCCCGCATTGGCGTTTCTTCATTTCCAGTAGAGATATTCTTTGCGTCTCTGTCCTTGTGGCTCCCTCCATTGTGACGCTCATTTTCCATCCCTCCCACCCCACAGCGGCAGACGGTGCGGCAGCTGCCAATGCTGCCGATAGCGCAAATGCCAGCCTAGTCAATGGTACGTCTCCAGGGCCAGCCCTCCAGCCGGGGCGGGGGGCCTGTCCTCCTCCACCCCAGCTCCGGCCTTTCTCTCCTTGGATGACCTTGGATGGGCGTGGGTCACCCTGGGTCACTCTGTCCCCCACGTGGTGGACAGGCACTTAAGAGAGGAGCCATGGCCGGTCAGGACATCAACTCCAGGCCTGCTGGTCACTACCAAAAAGGCTCCGTGTGGGCCTTGGATACCCCACCCCCTCCCCCAGGGGCACCAACCGTGGGACATGGCTTGGGCCTCATATTTAGCCCCCCAAAAGTACAGTCCTGCCAGACCTGGCCCTCTCCTAAGCACCTTCCGGCCCCGCTTTGGGCAGGTGGCCCGGGGTAGGGGGAGGGGTCAGGACCTGAGCTGAAGCCTGTCTCTGGGCCCTGCACCAAGCACCCCGCCTCTGATCCAGTCCCAGGAGGCAGCAGGGCCCCCGCCAGGCTTCACCTCCTCAGCCTGGCCCACAGCATGGCCGAGCCACTGGTTTCCGGGTCTTTCTCTGCCCTCTCCCCCTCCCCCATGGATCACAAGGGCAGTGGTGTGCTCAGACTCAGGCAGGTTCTGTCGTGCACATGTAGCTGGTGTTTCTGGCTGTTTGCTGTGCTGAAGCGTCTGTGGGTCTGCATTCTCACTGCCCCTTGTTGGGGGGGGGGGGGCGGGCGTGGGGTCTGCCCGCAGCCTGGGGTCTTCAGCATACACTTCTCTTGCACGGGCAGGGCTGAGGTTACACCCACCAGCCTGAGCCGCCAGCTGGGAGCTCTCCCCGCTCGAGAAAGACTTCCGTGGGCTCAAGTTCTACCCTGTCCCCAGGCTAGGGAACAAGATGGTGGCAGGCCGTGCCTGGAGGGGTGAGAGCCCGAAGGAGCCAAGGGAGAGACAGAAGGATTCTCCCTTCATCCTTGCAGATCAGTCTCTAGCTGCAGGTTTTTCTCTCGTTCTACCATCTCTCCTGTAAAACCCGCAGACTCTGGTCAGCCCTGCCCTCCCCCCCCCCCCACCCCAACCCCTGGCTGAGATACACCGCGGCATGAACGCCAGGGGCTGCCCACGGCGCTCCTGCTCACGGGTGCTGGTTCAGAAAGAGGAAGGGGACGTGAGGGCTGGGAGAAGCATCATGGGGCAGAGAGTGGACAGAGAGAATCAGCATGGACAAAGCCACTGCTGGGGAAGAAGGAACAGCCAGGAACTGGCACCTTTGCCCAGGGAGTAGCAGGCAGATGCCAACCATCCTGACCAGTGCCAGGAGAAGGGGGGGCGGGGAGAGGTTTTACTTCCGAAACTACTACCAGAAACCCGCAGCCACCCAGAAAACACACATCTTCTCCTGGGTGTCAGGTACCATTGCAAGCCTTCTGTGCTCTCCCCGTCATGCGATCCTTGGAACAGCCCCCTGCCTAAGTTTCCTTACCCCTACTTTAAAGATGAGGAGACTGGGGCTCGAGGAGATCAAGGCATTAGTCCAAGTTCCAACACGGGAGAGTAGCAGTCAGGATTTGAACTCAGAACCCAGATCTAGCCACAGGCAAAGTGTGTACTTCTCCTGTTGATCTCAACCCTCCTCCTTCCCCCATACCATGGACTGTATCTTGTAAATTTCACAAGGAAACGAAGAAGCTATCCCCCCTAAGAAAATGACCCCGTGGTTAACGAGGAGTATCGTGTGGGGAGTAAGGCTGTGGTGAGCACCTGTAATCTCAGCACTCAGGAGTCTGAGGTGGGAAGATGGGGTTTGAGACCAGCCTGGGGCATATAACGAGACCCTGTCTTACAGAAGCCACGGCTGGGGGCGTAGCACAGCGGCAGAGCACCGATCATGTGTAAGGCGTTGGGTTCCAGCCCAACACTGACCTCCCCCCCCAAAAAAAAGTTTGAGAACCGCTGGACAGTGAATCGGTCTCTGCCTTGCCACAGAAGTCGTGAGACCCTGGAACGTGCTGTTTGTTGTACAGTGCGCAGTGATGAGAAGAGGCTTCTCGGGCTATTTTGGCAGAGGGGCCTTGCCCCAGTGGGTTTGCTGTGCCCCATAGTTTTGCTCTTGGGGGTGGGGGGATGGGAGTGCTCTAAGCCATCCACACTGAGATGTGATTGGACCACCCAGAATCCCCGCGTTCCCCGCCCCCCCATCAGAAATCCATGTCTGACTCCGCCCCCTGCCAGTCCTGTGGGAATCTGAATTCTAACCAATTGTCGGCAGGAGGGAACCTGATGGCATTTCACCTGTCTTCTGAACTAAATCTTGATAACGTAGATAACAAGGAGAAAAGACATGGCGGGTGGCCATGATTTCCCCACCTCCCCACCCCACCCCCAACTCTGCTCTCCCAAGATCACCTGGACAAGGTGGATGGGTCCTCTCTCATCTGGGAGACGTCGCCATGGTGATTTTAGTATGTGTCTATTTACTCATATGTCACGGCTCTAATCAGGCTTGATGGCGGAGTCACGTGGGACTCCTGATGTTGGTTCACACAGCACAGGGCTCTTCCTAGCACCCGTGCGGTTGGCATTGTATCCGAGAGGGAAGAGAGGCACAGCTCCTAGTCTCCTCCCTAGGTGTCTGTTCTCCAAAGCTTGTCTCCCAGGGAACCCCCCCCGCCCGGAACCTAGGCGCACACCTAGGCGCCTCATGCCCACAGCCCTCGTCATACGCAGAGAACTAGCCCCTCTCGAGCAGCCATGGAGGGCACCAGAGGCAGAGATCGGACTCCAGGCCCCTCATCCTGAATCATATCCCCGGGTCCCACGTGGGGCCACAGCTGGGTGTCCCACACAGAGCAGGGCCAGGCAGGCACCAAATTGGCAGAGAAGAGCCCTAAATAAGTCCCTCGCTTCTGACAAACCAGGCCATCTGCACTGAAGCGCTCCCACAACGGCTCCCTTCCTCCAACATACGCGCTCCTGATGATCTTTCTGGTAATAAAAGAGTAAATTGCTAGCTGGGTCTAGTAGGCTTGCGCACATCTGACGATATGCAGAACAAGCAGAGGCCCTTGGAGCCCTCTAAGCAAGAGTACTGACGCCCAGTCCTCCGTGCCCCTTAGCCTAGCTAGTGGAATAACTTTAAGAAATAAAAAGTAATCATAAAAATGTTTTTTTTTATTTGCTCTAAAAACAAAACAGAAGTTTTCTCTCTGTTGTCTTTTAATCCAGTGACAGAATTTCCTGATAGAGCAGCGGTGGCTTTCTCTTTCAGTGCTAGGGTGGGCCGCTGACCTACATAATGGGGGGCACTGGAAACAGCACTGACCAGAAGCCAGGCTGGGGTCCCCAGCAATCACGTCTCCCCACGGAGTCACTGAAAAAGTGGGTGAGAGTGGCAGGCTGGGATTCGGAGAATCAAGCTACATCCGAACCTCCCGGTGCCTCGGTTTCCCCGTCAGTATACTGACAGCATTGACCTTGCAGGTGGCCAAAAGCTGAGCCAGGAGTGTGGTTAGAATGGGAAGGGTAGATCCATTCCTCTCCCCGCTGTCCCGATGGGGCCCCAAGTCCCCGCCGTACCCCCTTGATGCCCTACACTGGGCTCAGTAGATGAGACCTGCACAGACAGCCTTCAGGCCAGCTCTCCACTTTCCCACTAAGACCCAGACAGACCGCCACCCTCTCCGAGCCTCAGTTTCCCTGTAAAAGAGTATCCTCCAGCCTTTGCCAGGGAAGCTATGGTGAAGGAGCACTAGATCATCATGGAGACTGCATGGGCCGGGCATCCATGGGCTTGGCGGTGGCTGTGCACGGACAGCCCGGCTTCTTAGGCCTCTCCTCCATGCCAAGCCGGAGACCCAGCTCTGGGTGGGTCCCGCAGGCCTGGTGTGTGGGTGAGCACAGGTGAAGGCCGTGGCTCAGGAGAGGTGGTGAACATCTGAGCCTCCAGTGCTGGCCGAGGCTAGGGAGGAGGCCACAGGCAGCCCGATGACCTGTGGGAGGCCCAGACCCAGCACCTCCCCTGCACAAGGCAGCATTTGGGCCTGCTGTGGGGAGGGGGCCCAGGGGGCTCCCAGACCCACCCGAGCCTGTCTACTGCGGCCTGAGACAGTGCTTCCCCCTGGAATCAGGGCATGACCAGGAGGCTCCCAGACACCTCAGGAGGCCCCTCCACTCTGCTTGCTTTCAAGGGTGCTGGCAGGGGGTCAGCCCTCAGAAAGAGGAGGAGAAAGGAGAAATCCCCACCCCCACTGCGGAGCCAGAGGGCAGGTCCTCCCTCCCCCTCCCTCCCTCCCTCCCTCCATCTCTCTTCTGTCTGTCTCTGTCTCTCTCTGTCTCTGTCTCTGTCTCTTCCCCCACCCTCATTTTCTTTTACTGGAAAAAACAGAGGATGTAGCTGAGCCAAGTTTTCCATTCCTCAAACACAGTAACCAAGCTAGCCATAAAAGCCCTAATTGGGGCCTGGGATTTTTTTTTTCCTTCCAGCAGACTCAGCTCCCTTTCAGCTTCATACCTAGTCCTTTATTCTCTAAGAAATTATGAAATTATTTCAACAGAAATCCTCTCGCAAACAGGCTCCGGTGACTCACGCCTGTGATTCTAGCTCCTCAGGAGGCTGAGATCTGAGGATCACGGTTCAAAGCCAGCCCAGCAGGAAAATCTGTGAGACTCTTATCTCCAATTAACCACACACACACACACACCAAAAAAAAAAAAACTGAAAGTGGAGCTGTGGCTCAAGTGAAAAAAAAAAATAAATAAAGAACACAGGGCCCTGAGTTCAAGCCCCAGTATCGGAAGGAAAGAAGGGAGGGAGGGACGGAGGAAAAGGGAGGGAGGGAGAGAGGACCTTTCTTCTGCATCCTCTAGAGAATCAAGAGCCACTTAGCAGCCCGGAGGCTAATTCCATCAGACTGGCCCTTATTCGGGGCCTCCTCCGTGGACCCCAGTAGCCCAGCCCTTCTTCCATCTGTGCTGTGAAAGTCCGTAGCCTGTTGCGTCTTGGTGATGACCAACCTGTCCTGTCTGTTCTCTGTTGTCTGTTAAAATTCTTTGTCGTGTAGGTAAAATGCAGGATGGCAATGTGGACAGCAACCAGAGCAAAGGTAACCTTCTGTACTGACCGCACTGAGTCCTCTCAGCCGCACCTGCGTGGCCGGCGCCTTGTGGGGGTGTGGGGGGCTGTGACTCTGGTGGTGCAGGGCCAGATTCACAGGTGTCCCCGCCGAGCTGGGGGCCCCCTCCAGGCTGGCGTCTGCTGAGCCTCTGCCCATTTGGTGGAGGTTGGGAAGCTGGTCCTTTGAGACCGGTATAGAGGGAGAAGGGCTATCCAGTCTGTCCAAAAAGGACCCAGGCCCTCCTTCTATCCCGTGCTGACAAGCCCTTGCTGGCTGGAAGTGGGAACTCGGTGCCCGTGCCAGGCACAGCCATGCCCGCAGACACCACTTTTTCCTCTTAAACTTAGTCCCTTCTGTCATCCCAACCACCAGGCCCCTGGGGCACAATGGGAAGCCCCACCCTCTGTCTTGTCTGAGCGTGGAAAGGCCGAGGGGCCCTTTGGGGTTGGATCTGTGGGCCTAGGCAGACCCCAAGAGGACCCAGCTTCTTCTAGGAATCAGGGTGAGGCCCCATGAGTCCAGGCTGTGTCCCCGATTCCCGGTGCCAGGCGATGGACGCCTCTGGGAGCCAGATCCCGCTGAATGGGACACATCCCATCCCAGCTTCTGTGCCGGCCATGCGGGGCTCACACGGGGAAGTGGGACCCTCCTCCCCTCCCCCACCGGGCAGGCAGCGTGGCCCCAACGTCCCCCACCTGCGGGCTGACCTGCGTGCGTGTCTGTGTCTGTATGCACACATGCGTGCTCTCCCCTCTCCCCTGCAGCCAAGCAACAGGATGGGGCGGCCGCCATGGAGATGCAGCCCCTGAAAAGCGCGGAGGGCGGCGACGCCGATGACAAGAAGAAGGCCAATATGCACAAGAAGGAGAAATCGGTGCTGCAGGGCAAGCTCACCAAGCTGGCTGTGCAGATCGGCAAGGCGGGTGAGTGGGCCACGGGCGGAGAGGCTGCACCGTGCGCACAGGAGCCAGTCGGGTCCTGTATACAGCGGACACTCAGCACTCAGCTCAGCGAAACGCCTGGCCCTGATGGCAGGCAGCAGGTGCTGAGTTCTGGCTACGGCTACAAGGACGCTGGAGACTTGGTTGGCTCCGGGCCTCCGTCTCCTCCTCGTGGGTCTCGGGATGTGTGGTCTGCACCGGCAGGGCTCTGGGCACACCGGGCACGTGTTTACTTGGCCCCTGCAGGGTTGCAGAGGGGCAGGTGCTGAAGGCCTGGAGTTCCAGGCAGGCCTGGACTTCATTCTGAGGGCATTGGGATTCACGGGAGAGAAGGGAAGAGCAGGGGCGGACGAGTGCTTTATAATGACCATCTAGTCTGGACGGGAGGTGGAAGGCAGCGCCAGGAGCCCATGGAGAAAGCCTTACCTGGATCCCAGAGACACAATCCAAGCTTCCCAACTGAGGTGGCAGCTGCAGGTGACGGCTGGGCGGGCCGTGACAGCCCCAGCCACGGAGCTGAGCCCAGCTGCAGGGTGTACCCCGGCCGCCCGGGCGCCCAGCCCCGGCCTCCCCTCCCGGCTGAGGAGATGGCGCCCTCAAGGCCTCCCCAGCTGGCCGCTCACCGCTCCGTGGCCGTCTCCCAGCTCTAATTATAGACACCACGGCGCGGGGAAAGGAAGCAAATTATAGGCCTGGTTGTCTATATTTAAACTTGGGGGGCTGGTGACAGCGCCTGGCTGCTGGGTGCTTGGCTTCCCGCCCCTGCCACCGACAGGCAGGGAGAGAAGCCGGGGCTGAGGCTCCACCGCTGGAGGGGGGTGGGGGCGACAGGCCCGGGAATTCCTCCATCCCACCCGGCAGCGCCCCCCTCGCGGGAGAGAAGAGGTGCCGACCCTCTGTGACCTTCACCGTCCTCACGCCCCCCTCCCCACCTCACCCCACCCAGAACGGGGTTCCTGGCTCCCTTCCTGCCCCCTCCTTTGGCTGAATTCCCGAAGGCAGAGCTGGGGTGGGGACAGGGGCAGCCCCGGGGTGAGGGCTGCCACTCAGGGACAGAGCAGCCACAGGTCCCTCAGAGTTCCAGACACTCCTCGATCCCTCGAGACCTCTGGGCCTGCTTGGTGGGGCTGCGGCCTGCACCACGCCCTGAACACAGGCACTAGCCAGCCTTGGCGTTTGGGGATACAGACACCTGCGCAAGTGAGCGACCCAGGGGAGCCCGGGCGGGTCACCAGCTGTAGCCCAGCCACGGTGTCTCCCTGGCCGGTGGCCCTCCCTGCCCAAGCCTCCATTTCCTCATCCGAAAATCCAGGACCCCTGGTCTCCCCACTAGCACCTCCTCCCCAAAGCCTTCCTGCCCAGGACCTGTCACGGGGGCCCTGAGACTGTTTGTGGTGTGAATGAATAAAGTGATGGGCGCTTCACCTCACCGCACACAGCTCTACACCCACAACCACACACGTGTGTACGTGTGTGTGTGTGTGTGTGTGTGTGTGTGTGTGTGTGTACTGGGGCTTGAACTCAGGGCCTGAGAGCTATCCCTGAGATCATCCTCTGGTACTCCACCACTTGAGCCATACCTCCACTTCCAGCTTTTTGCTGGTTAATTGTAGATGAGTCTTACCGAGGCTGACTTCAGACTAGAATCAGATCTCAACTTCCTGAGGATTGCAGGCATGAGCCACCAGTGTCTGGCTTGCACAGTTGGTTTTTTTCTCTGTGTGTGTGTGTGTGTATATGTGTGTGTGTGAGAGTGTGTGCGCACAGGTGTGCTCCAGTGTTAGTCCTGGACTTGAGCTCAGGGCCTAGGTGTTGTCCCTGAGCTTTTTCTCTCAAAGATAGCACTCTATCTCTCTGAGCCACAGCACCACTTCTGGTTTTCTGGTGGTTAATTGGAGATAAGAGTCTCTTGGACTTTCCTGCCCAGGCTGGCTTTGAACTGTGATCCTCAGGTCTCAGCCTCCTGAGTTGCTAGGATCACAGGCGTGAGCCACGGGCACCCGGCCATCTCACAGGGTCCTCATGCCCCGTGCAGTCCTTCAGCTCCTATTTCTGGATGGCCTGCACTGCCCTAGGCACTTGGCACGCATTTCCACATGGTGAGGTTGGCAAAGCCGCATGAAGGAAGCCCGTGTGCCCATTGCTCAGAAAAGGAGGCTGAGGCTCCCTGAGGACCAAGGGCTTGCTCTGGGTACAAGGAATCAGCAGGGCTATGAGGGGAGCTGGGGTCAAGCCGGCACCTGCCCCGCCCCTCCGCTGGAGCCCCCTGAGCGGCTTGTCCCTGTGTTGTAGGTCTGGTGATGTCGGCCATCACCGTCATCATCCTGGTTCTGTACTTCACCGTGGACACCTTTGTGGTCAACAAGAAGCCGTGGCTGGCCGAGTGCACGCCGGTGTACGTGCAGTACTTCGTCAAGTTCTTCATCATCGGCGTGACGGTGCTGGTGGTGGCCGTGCCCGAGGGCCTTCCGCTGGCCGTCACCATCTCGCTGGCCTACTCGGTGAAGGTGAGAGCGCGGAGCGCAGGACGCAGCCAGGGGCAGGGATGCAGGGGGTGCTGGGTAATGCTTCTGGCCAAGGAGGTAAAGCGGGGGGGGGGGGGGGGGGCAGGGACGCAGGGGGTGCTGGGTAATGCTTCTGGCCAAGGAGGTAAAGCGGGGGGGTGGGGGGGGCAGGGACGCAGGGGGTGCTGGGTAATGCTTCTGGCCAAGGAGGTAAAGCGGGGGGGGGGGGGGGGGCAGGGACGCAGGGGGTGCTGGGTAATGCTTCTGGCCAAGGAGGTAAAGCGGGGAGGGGGGGCGGGGGGGCAGGGACGCAGGGGGTGCTGGGTAATGCTTCTGGCCAAGGAGGTAAAGCAGGGAGGGGGGGCGGGGGGGCAGGGATGCAGGGGGTGCTGGGTAATGCTTCTGGCCAAGGAGGTAAAGCGGGGAGGGGGGGCGGGGGGGCAGGGATGCAGGGGGTGCTGGGTAATGCTTCTGGCCAAGGAGGTAAAGCGGGGGGGGGGGGGCGCAGGGGGACAGGGAGCCAGGGATGCAGGGGGTGCTGGGTAATGCTTCTGGCCAAGGAGGTAAAGCCGGGGGTGGGGGGCGGGGGGGCAGGGATGCAGGGGGTGCTGGGTAATGCTTCTGGCCAAGGAGGTAAAGCCGGGGGGCGGGGGGAGCCAGGAAGGAGGCTTCCAGCTTTTCTGGTGCTTAATTTGGAGATGAGTCTCACAGACTTTCCTGCTCAGGCTGGCTTTGAACTATGATCCTCAGATCTCAGCCTCCTGAGTAGCTAGGATGACAGGTGTGAGCCTCCGGCGCCCAGCTTAGAAAGTCTGGTTTTAGGGGAACCCCTCCCCTCCGATACAGGCTGAAAAATGAAGGGGTTTTGCCTGCAGGTCACTGGAGCGCTGGGGAAGGTCGGGGCTGGGCCTCTCCTGAATGCTGGCCTGTGGACACAACCCACCTCCGCCTGCCAAGGCAGTCGGTGCTCCTCCACTGCGCCCCTCGTGGGTCACCCCAGGCCCTCCCACCCCCCTCGTCTGCTCCCTTTGCTCTGGGGTTCCCCCACCTTCAAGGGCAGGGGCTTGAGAGCTCCCCTTTCCCAGGGTTCAATGCCAGGTGGTCCCTACAGGGTGAGGTACAGGCGTGGTTGTGTGTGTGTGTGTGTGTGTGTGTGTGTGTGTGTGTGTGTGTGTGTGTGTTCTGAGGAGCTGGCAGGGCCGCCCAGGCACAGCAAGCATCAGTTTGCACACTGGAATTTGGACTGTGTCCTCTGGTGTAATTTCATACAGAGAGATCTCCCGGCGGCTGCCAGCGAGCGGCAGCTCAGCGTAAGAGATACCCACTCGTCGCCACCCTGTTTTAGGATCCTCGAATAAACTCCATCTCCCAGTGCCAAGCCCAAGGAGCTCACGGCGCAAAGCTCCCTGGCACCGGGGCCCAGCGGGGGCCACCCTGGCGGGGGGGTGAGAGGCGCCTGCCCCAGGGTTCTCCTGGAGCTGGGAGGGGGAAGGGACAGACGCTGTGAGCCTCTGCCCTCTGCACATTGTGTCTCTGGCATCTGCCACCTTTGTTTGTCACAGCTCACGTTACTGGTGTGGCCACCTGATCAATTTGTAGTGCCAGGGCGAAGGAGGCTGCTCTTCCTCCCCGAGCCTGGCCCTGGAGCCGCCTCAGAGGATACAGCTGTGGGCAGTTGGGTCACGCTGCCCAGCAGAGGCAAAATGCAAGCCACAAGTGTTGCCTTCAATCCCCCAGAACCACCTTCTTCAACAAGTAAGAAGGAACAGGAGCCAGGAGCCAGTGGCTCACGCCTGTCATCCTAGCTACTCAGGAGGCTGAGATCTGAGGATCATGGTTCAAAGCCAGCCTGGGCAGCAAAGTCCATGAGACTCTGATCTCCAATAAACCACTACAAAAACCAGAAGTGGCACTGTGGCTTAGGTGGTAGAGAGCTAGCCTTGAGCTGAAGAGCTGAGGGACAGCGCCCAGGCCCAGAGTTCAAGCCCCACAACCAACAAAAAAATAAAGAAAGAAGAAATAGGAGATATTAACTTTAACACCATTTACTTAACCAATTCAACATATAACCAATATAAACATAATAGAGATTTTCCCCCCTTTGGCAGCACTGGGGTTTGAACTCAGGGCCTAGCGCTTCTCAGCAGCCGCTCTACCACGTGAGCCGCGCTTCCAGCCCCATTTTCCGTTGGTTATTTTCAGGATGTTTATGCACAGAGCGGCCTAGGCTGCCAGCCTCTCACTTGTGCTTCCTGGGTCCCAGGGGATGACAGACAGACGCCACCACACTAGCCATCGGTTGAAATGGAGTCTCACACACTTTTATACCTGGCCTTGAAACGACAGTCTACTGATCTCGGTCTCCCAAGTAGCTAGGATTTCAGGAGTGAGCCACAACACCCGGCTTTGTACTCCTCATGTCTCCTAGTTACAGAGAGTCATCATGAGGAACAAGGATACAGGAAATCAAATCCCTAATCACACACTAGGAGTCCATCTGATTCCCCGGGTAGCAGCTTTCATGTCTCCCTGGTCAGGTGGGGCCAGCGTTGTCAGGAACCTGCCTGAGAATTGCTCGATTTGCATTCCTTATTTGAGGACCTAGAAGCAGTTAGGAATGGGAAGCAGGGCCAAGGAGAAAAAGAGGCATAAATAAATAGCCAGGCACCAGTAGCTCATGTCTGTCATCTAGCTACTCAGGAGGCTGAGATCTGAGGATCCCAGTTCAAAGCCAACCTGGGCAGGAAAGTCTGTGGGACTCTTATCTCCAATAAACTACCAGAAAACCAGAAGTAGAGCTGTGGCTCAAATGGTAGGATGCTCGCCTTGAGCTGAAGAGCTCAGGGACAACAAGCACCCTGTGTTCAAGCCCCACAACTGACCAAAAGAAGTCAATAAAAGTCTGAAGTCCCATCCCTCAAGAGATAATAACACGGATTTGATATCTTTCCAGTTATTTTCCTGTATCTATAAACATGTATATAGCCCAGCAAAAGATTGTCTCATTTGAGAAAAACCCATAGCCAAATGTGAAAGAGTTGTGTTGAGTGGAAAACAAGGTATTTGAAGTGATCAGGGAACACTCAACCTTTGTGTGTCAGTGTGTGTATCTGTGTATGTGCACACTCACACGTGCGTGTGAACACATACATGCATGTGCATACATCAGTACCAGGGCTTAAACTCAAGGCCTTGAGCTTTTGCTCGGCTTTCTTGCTCACGACTGGCACTCTTACACTTGAGCCATGGCTCCACTTCTGGCTCTCTGCTGATTTCTTAGAGGTAACAGTCTGGCAGATTTGGCCTCAAACCATGATCCTCAGATCTCAGCCTCCCAGATAGCCAGGATTACAGGCATGAGTCACCAGCACGTGCCCGGCTTCCGACCTTGATTTTTACCTTTCCCACTCTTTTCTCCATAAAGAATATAGATTACTTCTGCAGCACGAATCAATCCGTTCCGAATGATAAAGCAGAACAGACGGGTGCACACCTGAACCCCCCGCCCCCCAAGCCCAGGTGCTAGCGGCTGCTCCTCCATCATCCTCTCCCCTTCCTCTCCCCCCAGAAAATGATGAAAGACAACAACCTGGTGCGACACCTGGACGCCTGCGAGACCATGGGCAATGCCACCGCCATCTGCTCGGACAAGACAGGCACGCTCACCACCAACCGCATGACGGTGGTGCAGGCCTATGTGGGCGATGTCCACTACAAAGAGATCCCAGAGCCCAGCGCCATCAATGCCAAGACCCTGGAGCTGCTGGTCAACGCCATAGCCATCAACAGCGCCTACACCACCAAGATCTTGGTAAGTGGTGCCCATCCACTACCTCTGCCAGGGGTCACGGCCGCCCACAGGGGGGGACACGGAAGTCCGCAGCCTGAGTCATGTGACTGGCACCTTCAACTAGAGTCTGAGCTCATCACCTAATAAGCAACCCATTTCTCTTTGATTTACTATTAATGTGGTTGTAATGGTGGTGTGACCAAATAGAAAAGGTTATTGATCATTATTACTATTGATTCTGTGACTAGAGTGGTATCTGGCAGTTTGGGGATTTGAACTCATGACCTTGCTAGGTGGAGGCTCTACCACTTGAACCATTCCCTGAGTAGGGTCTTGCTTTTGCCCAAGGACCTGCTTGGACTGGGATCCTCCTACTTCTGCTTTCTGTGTAGCTGGGATTTTAGGCATGTGCCATCACACCCTGCTTGGTCTTTGGGACAGGGTCCTGCTTTTTTATGCTGCTGCCCTGGACTGTAATTCCCTGTTTGTGCTCTCTGCCATGGCTGGAGTGACAGCATCGTATCACCACCTAGCTTTTTCTGTTGAGATCCAATCTCACTAACATTTTCCGCAGGCTGGCCTATCTCCACCTCCCAAGTAGCTGAGATTACCAAGCCACTGAATATTATCTTTAAATCCTACCATTGAGCCCCCCAAAAAAACACCTTGTTGCTGATTGCTTTTGCTACATCTCAAACCATTCCAAACTTGGTGTCTCAAAACACCTATGTGCGGATGGTCTTACACAGCCTGGGGTTCCCAGTCCACTGAGTCAACCAACCATGGGTCAGAAGTATTCAGAAAAACTGGTGGCTCACGCCTATCATCCTAGCTACTCAGGAGGCTGAGATCTGAGCATCACGGTTCAAAGCCAGCCCAGGCAGGAAAGTCCGTGAGACTCTTATCTCCAATGAACAACAAAAACTGGAAGTGGCTCTGTGGCTCTAACAGCAGAGTGCTCGCCTTGAGCTGCAGAGCTGAGGGACAGCGCCCAGGCCCAGCATTCAAGCCCCATGACGGACCAAAACACAAACAAACAAACAAAAAAAAGAGGCTAAATCTAAGGATCAAGCATCAAAGCCAGCCCAGACAGACGGATCTGGCAGATTCTTCTCCCCCAGGGATGGTCAGCTCTCAGCCCTCTGGATGAGCTAGGAGTGTAGGCGTGAGCCACCGCTGCTTCATAGCAACCTTTCCTGTAGAGTGAGGAGAAACTATCTGGTATGTATTGTGGATTCCAGTCTGGCGTTCTTCAGCCCATCATCCTTTGATCTTAGCTGTCACTCACAGATCTCATTTTCAATACGTGGCCTGTGGCTACACCGGACACTGGTGAAGGGCTGAGCTCTTGGGCCTGGAACTGTACTGGCTATGGCTCTGAGGTGGATGGGTGCTTGGGGCAGCCGCAGGTCCGGCCCTGCCCTCCCAGGGCCCCATCCCCTCCCTCCCCACAGCCCAGCACAATAGCAGCACCTCAACTGCTTCACAGCGTGGGAGCCGGGATGGAAGACTCCGAGGAATTGCACAGCCACAGCACCAACCTTGGAGTCTGTCGTGATAAAAAAAGCCAAGAGAGAAAAGCGGGTGTGGGCCGGGCGGGAGCGGCCTGCTTAGTAACGCGAGCTCAGAGCTCAGGCTCACGGAGACAAATTGAATGACGGAGAGACAGCTCTGCCATTTGCCACTATGAATTGTTCGAAATCCTTTTAGAGGAAAATTAAAATAATTCACGGAGGGTAATAAAATGCTGGGTGTTCTGCAGGCCTGACTGCGCAGCTCTCTTGGGCAAAGAAGTAATTAGGCATTTTGAGTTAAGTCCTCCTGTGTTGTCATTTTCTTTGGGGTGAGGGGAGCTATTGTAGAAAAGGCATAAAACTCTGGAAAGCACCAGAAAGTTAATTATTCAATTGAGTATGTGTATTTGTGTTTAAGTACAGCACACGGCCTACAATAGAGGCAGAGGCAGGCCCTTGACATTCCGTCCACCCACCCCACCCCCAAGAAAACAGAAAGCCGTGACAACAGAAAGCTGGGACAAAGCTCCTGCCCGCAATGGTCAGAGCACTTGGAGCTGGAGCCGGGCGCTGGTGGCTCACACCTGTCACCCCAGCCACACAGGCTGAGATCTGAGGATCTCGGTTCAAAGCCAGCCGGGGCCCGAAAGTCCGTGAGACTCTCATCTCCAATTAATCACCAAAAAAAGAGAGAAATGGAGCTGCGGCTCAAGAGGTAGAGCGCTCGCCTTGAGCACAAAAGCTCAGGGCCAGGGCACGGTCCCCGGGGTCAAGCTCCAGGACCGGCACAAGGAAAAAAAAATCCTAGAAGTCGGGAGCCAGCCGAGCCACTGGGTGCTGAGACCTCCGTCAACGTGACCGGGAGAGCTGATCTCTAACCTGTCCTCCTCCTCCCTGCCCGGCTCCCTGTGGACCTGTGTGTAGGCGGCCCGGGGAGTAGGAGGCTGATCTGAGGCCCATGCCGTGCGTGGGGTAGCGAGGACGCGGGCCTGCTTATTGCTATTTCTGCCTCATCAACGTCTCTCCAGGCTCGGGGTTAACTCTGGCAGCAATTCCCACCCCCACGCCACCCACGCCCGCTGGCTGCAAATTAAGTGTACGCGTGGGTGGGCTTGCTGAGTGCAAAAGCCAGCTTCCCACAGTGTCACACTGTGGTTCCACACACAGCGCGCGCTGGAGATGACACAGCGGACGGGGGGTGGAGCCCAGCGGCACAGCGCCTGCCCCGCGTGCCAAGGACCTGGGCTTGATTTCCTACAAGAAAACAAGACAGAGACAGAGAACCCATGAGTGGCCGCCAGAGCCAGCAAGGGAGGTAACCGTGGTGTGAAGAGCAGCCCGGGGACCCTGGTGGCAAGCCGTCCTCTGTCTCCACCTTGGCAGAAGTCTAGGAATCTGAGCCTGGTGCCATTCGAAAGAACTAAAAATGGGTGCAGTGGCTCACACCTGTAATCCTAGCTACTTGGAAGACTTAGATTAGGAGAATCGGGGTTTCAGGGCAGCCCAGGCCAAAAGAAAAAAGAAAAAAAAGTTCACAAGACATCTCCACCAATAAAGCCTGGGCATTGTGGTGCAGGCCGCCATCCGACTACACAGGAAGCGCTAATCGGAGGACAGTGGTCCAGGCCTGTGTGAATGATAAACAAAAGGGGCATTCAAAAAATAACTGAGGCAGAAAGGCTTGGGGCTATGGCTCAAATGGTAGGAGTGCCTGTCTAACAAGTACAAGGCCCTGAGTTCAAACCCCAGAACCCCCAAAAGAAAAGTGTGGAACAGATATGGTATGATGTCAAGGCTGTGCACAGTAGAGCTAGGCATTGTGGTGCATGACGGTAATCCCAGCTTCTCAGAAGGCAGAGGTAGGAATCAAGGTCCAAAAAGGGCTGGAAGTGCCGGGCGCTGGTGGCTCACGCCTGTAATCCTAGCTACTCGGGAGGCTGAGCACTGAGGATCACGGTTCAAAGCCAGCCTGAACAGGAAAGTCTGTGAGACTCTTTTTTTTTTGGGGGGGGGTCCGGTCATGGGGTCTGAACTCTGGGCCTGGGCGCTGTCCCTCAGCTCTTCGGCTCAAGGCTAGTGCTCTACCACTTGAGCCACAGCACCACTTCCGGCTTTTTTCTTTTTGCTTATGTGGTGCTGAGGAATCGAACCCAGGGCTTCATGCATGCAAGGCAAGCGCTGTACCACTGAACCACCTTCCCACCCCACCCACCCACAGTGAGACTCTTATCTCCAATAAACCACTAGAAAACCAGAAGTGGCGCTGTGGCTCAAGCGGTAGAGCGCTAGACTTGAGCTGAAGAGCACAGGGACAGCGCCCAAGCCCAGAGTTCAAGCCCCATGACTGACTAAAAAAAAAAAAAAAAGAGCTGGAAGTGAGGCTGTGGTGGTAGAGCACTTACTAGGCTAAACCCCAGCGTTGCCACAGTAAAAAGATTCTGCACAGCAGGCATCCAGCTATGTCCTGTATCGCTAAGCCTTCTGGTTGGAAACGTCATCTTTCTTGCAAAGCTGGTCTTGCGTAGTGATTTGCATCCAAGGCCAGGCACAGGAGAGGCCCTGGGGACAGGAGTTCCACTGAGGTCCTGCCCCCTGCGAGCCACACCCCTGCGTCTCTCCACAGCCGCCAGAGAAGGAGGGTGCCCTACCCCGGCAGGTGGGCAACAAGACAGAGTGCGGCCTGCTGGGCTTTGTGCTGGACCTGAAGCAGGACTACGAGCCGGTGCGCAACCAGATGCCGGAGGAGAAGCTGTACAAGGTGTACACCTTCAACTCCGTGCGCAAGTCCATGAGCACCATCGTCAAGATGCCGGATGACAGCTTCCGCATGTACAGCAAGGGCGCTTCCGAGATTGTGCTCAAAAAGTGAGTGGCCCGGCCGGCTCCCAAGGCTCGTGCCCAGCACGCTAGCTCCTCAGGTGACAACTGTGGTCCTGGAAATAAGCCTGGAGAGCTGCGCGGGTCACTGCCCCTCGCTGGGCCTCAGTTTCCCCACTTGTGTATTGGAGGGGCTGGTGGAGGGCACGGGTTCTCCACCCTGGCTGTGTCTTGGAATCACCCTCCGGAGCTTCTTTACCAAACCCCCGAGTCCTGGGCTTAGCCCAGCCAGGTTGGGGCCCTGGATGAGGATGAGGCTCACGCCTGGTGTTTAAGTGGCCCCCTTTAGGGCTCTGCGGGTTGGGGCCACTTTTCTAGAAGAGTAGTACCTGTCACGTTCCACAGGGGGGCGCTCTCACTCCGTAGCCTAGGCAGAGAGCAAAGGGAGGCCACCTGCTTCCACCCCAGGCTGGGGCTCCAGGCCTACTGGATGTACTGAGGCATTGTGGGACCCGTGACCCGCTGGAGATGGGGCCCTGGACCAGACCTTCTTCCTCTCCACCCTCCTCCCCAGGTGCTGCAAAATCCTCAGTGGGGCGGGCGAGCCCCGCGTCTTCCGGCCGCGAGACCGGGACGAGATGGTGAAGAAGGTGATCGAGCCCATGGCCTGCGACGGGCTCCGTACGATCTGCGTGGCCTACCGCGACTTCCCCAGCAGCCCGGAGCCCGACTGGGACAATGAGAGCGACATCCTGAGTGACCTCACCTGCATCTGCGTGGTGGGCATCGAGGACCCCGTGCGGCCCGAGGTAGGCGGCGGCCACGGGGCCGAGCGCCCACGGCCGGCTGCGTGACTGGGACAAGTCACCTGCCCTCTCTGAGCCTCAGGTCCCCATGCAAGGCCCCCGGGGACCACTTCTCCCACACACAACAAAGATCAGCATGGGGCCCGCTTGACATGCGTCCGCTCAGAAGGACAGGACGGACCCCATAACCCCCGGGTACTTATTGCCCTTGGGTGGTGGCCTCTGTGAGCTGTCCCCTGGTCATCTGAGGCTGGGGACAGGCATAGGGGGCACCCTGCCTTAGAAGCCCTGCCACAGGACCTTGGAGCTCCTAGGACAAGTCCCATGCTGTGTGTGTGTGTGTGTGTGTGTGTGTGTGTGTGTGTGTGTGTGTGTGTGCGCGTGTGTATGTGTGTGTGTGTGCATGTGTACCCTAGTACCAAGGCTTGAACTCAGGCACTGTCCCTTAGACTTTTTTTCCGCTGGTGCTCTACTATTTGAGCCACAGTTACACTTCCAGCTTTTAACGGTTAGTTGATAAGAGTCTCTCAGAATTCCCTGCCTGGGCTGGTTTTGCGCGGCAATCCTCAGATCCCTCCTCCCGACTGACTACAATCACGGGCGTGAGCCACCCGCCGGCGCCCCGGTTCAGACGCGCACTTAGAGGCTGTCAGCTGTGTTTGAGAGCAGTGACTTACCGGAGTGAAGGCAGAGACAGGGGACCCGAACCCTCATGCTCTCCCTGCTGCCCCTCCCTCATGGGTGGCCTCAGTTTCCCATCTGCCAAGGGTGAATCACTCCATTGCTTTCTCCCCTCGAGTCCACCACATGCATCATCTGATGCCAGGACACACTAAACACTCACCATCCCCCACTGCACCCCCCCCCCCAAGACTTCCTAGAAGCCAGTGGGAGCTGGCGTGGATAAAAGCATCAGGAGAGCAGCGGTCTGGGACTCGCTGGGCTGGCCGGGGGTGTTTCGAGCCCACAGACAACGGCTGTCACCCAAAACAACAGATGTTTCGAAGCCTTTATTTCATGAAAATAGGAAGTGTCCATTTCCTTGGATGTTTTTCCTTCAGTGAGAAATATTTAGGATAATTTTAGCAAAAGAAGCTACTTTAAAAAAAAACAACCTTAATGATGATTTTATTTGTAATGGGGAGTATGCTTCAACCAGACTGATACCCAAGGTTTGAGTCTTCCGGGGTCCCCAGGGCCCAGAGCAGGCAAATGCCCCGTGGCTTCTTGGTTGAATGCATGAATGAGGGAGCGGGGAAAGTCCTGACAGACTTGGGGGGGCCAGAACAGCCCCAGGAGCGCACGGCACGGCACGGAGAAGCTGAGTACGACGCTCAGACACATGGAGCGGCTCAGGGAGGGAGGGCATTCCAGAAGGATCAGAATGGGCCAAGGAGAGGAACTAGGTAAGAATGTGTGTTCGTCAGCGTCCCAGTACTGTAACAAAACGCCTGAGGCATCCACTCATGTAGAAGGAAGGCCACCTCGACTGGCAGTGTCCGAGGTTCCCGCGCATGGTCAGTTGGTCCCATTACTCTTGGGCCTGCCCCGGGGAGACGCACCACGGTAGGGAGCAGAGCTGAGACTCAGGTCGTGGCTAGGAAGTGAATGGCAGGGCCAGGAGGCCCCAGCCTCCTTGGACCTATTGTTGGGGTCTGGAAAGAGCCTTCCTGCACTTCAGCTCAGGTCCACAAGACACGGGCCACCTCTGCCGGGGCGCCGCGAGGCTCACAGAAGCAGACAGGTGGAGGGAGCAGGACTTGAAGTGTGGAGAAGCCCATTCACCTACTTCATGCCAGCTACTCCGCGTCTGTGAGCTGGGCCCAGCGCTGCTGAAGGACAGGGCAGCGCTGACAGTTCTCTGAAAACGGACACACGTTCCCTGGGGGTCCCAGAGAAGGAGTGTAGTTTGTTTGTTCCCAAGGTGCTTGGGGTCTTGGACGTAGAAGGAACTTTACACCATGAGACTCAGGCCCTGGGCACTCCGAGGTAGATGCCACCTCTCCTTGCACACCTCAGGGGACGGCCTGCTCCCTCCCTCCACGGTCTGTGGAGGAAGCCTCATTTATCCTTTTATGTAGCCTGTCATCTTTTTTCTTTTTCATTTTGTGTGTGTCAGTCCTGGGGCTTGAACTCAGTACCTCACTTGCTCAGCTTTTACACTCATGGCCGGAGCCATGCCTCCAGTTACAGGGTTTTTTTTTTGCTGGTTTATTGGAGATAAGAGTCTCCTGGACTTTCCTGCCTGGACTGGCTTTGAACCTCAATCCTCAGATCTCAGCCTCTTGAGTGGCTAGGGTGACAGGCGTGAGCCACCAGAACCCATAGCATAGCTGTGCCTTTTTTTTTCTTCGAGACAGGGTCTCACTATGTAGCTCAGTCTGGCCTTGAACTCGCAATGCCCCGTGCTGAATGCTGGGGTTACAGGCATACACTAGCATACGTGGCTCAGACCTGTCCCCTGGTATGGAGCCAGGGTCACATACAGGTGGAAACAAGTGGCTCTGGGGACACGCACGTGTACACACACACACACACACACACACACACACCTGAATGCTGTTCCCTGGGAGCTCGTGCCTTCCTTTGCCCGTCAAGGGTGGCTGGGCTCAGGGGTCCGGGTCCCCTCTTGGAAGCCTCAGGCGGCTAGAGGCCAGGGTAGGGGGAAGAACGGGGGAGAGGCTGGGTGGAGACCCTGCTGGAGGAGGCCGCTGCGGGGGGCCGATGAACGGTAGGTGTCTGCCACTGTTCCAATAGGACTGCTGTGACTCCCCAATCCAGGATGATTTGATTTAGGATTTTTCCACATCACGAGGACACAAAAACAATACACATCCATGGAAACCGTCTTCCAGTTTCCCACTTGGATCTCTTCCCAGCCAGCAATACTGGGCACCAGCCCTTCCCTCCACAGCTCCCACCAGCCTCAGGATCTTGAGGGGAAATAGCACCCGCCTTATGGGGAAAGCTGATGGTGTTTTCACGCACCAGTTCATTGGTGGGTGGAGGGGAGTCTGTACCCCCAACCAACTCAAACAATAGAAATTGTCCCTTGGCCCTGGAGGCCGGAAGTTCCTCTGAAATCAAGCTGTGGGCAGGGCTGGTTCCTCAGAAAGCTGTGGTAGAGGGAGGGTTGGGGCCTCCCTCCCGGCCCCTTAGGGTGTGCTGGCCATCCTGTGGTGTCCTGGTGTGTAGGAGCATCCTCTGATCTCTTCCTTCATGGTCCTGGGGCGTCTCCTTGCCCAAATCTCTGTTCATAATGATACCAGACATGCTGGCGCCACCATCCTCTTCTCCCATGAGGTACGCTCACAGCATGGGGCTCAGGTCTCGGGGTGCCATTCATTCCAGCCAGTCCCAGGACGGGTGTGGGAGCAGCTCAATGAGCAGGGACTTAGGCCTCTGCCTTGGTCTCTGTTCTGCTTGTCAGCGCCTGTGGGTCAGGATCGCTCCACTGTTCCATCTGCGTTCTGCAGGAAGGGCTGGCCCACTCAGGCCCAGTCTCCACGTCTTAATTTCTGGGTGGGGCTTGCTACCTTCGGATTGGCTGGGCTGGGTCTGATCTGACCTGATTGGCCCAGACACCAGTCTGTCATTACAGTCAGAGGCGGCTAGAGGCATCTTTACTCTCAGTGCAATGGCCTATTTTCATACAGCTTTGTTGTTTTATTTCTTCTAACCAACGTTACATTCTATAAACAAAATGTACTTCACTGTAAATGTCCCCAAATAAAGAAACCTGATTTATCATGGAGTTTGTAGACGAAGCCAGGACACGTTATGTAAATGTTCTCCATGTTCACCAGGGTGCTTATGGGGTCTTTTCAAAATCTTTGCCCAAGCCAAGATAGCTGAGAGTTTCAGGATAGACTATCGTGGTCAGGGGGCCATGGCTGCCACAACTCTGCTAATTCTGAGACCCATGAGATTTAATCCGGTGCTGTCATTGATTGCTAATGCCTGCCATGGGCATGGAATGGAGGCAGTGACCCCGGGTTAGTTATCCAGTCTCCTTTCCCAGGGTCCACCTGGAAGAAGGGCTCCCTCTGGAATCCCTGAAGGCGGGGAGGGCCTGCCCGAGGGGGTGCCCTCCTCATGGCTCCGGCCCTCCTGTGCAGGTCCCGGAAGCCATCCGCAAGTGCCAGAGGGCAGGCATCACGGTCCGCATGGTCACGGGCGACAATATCAACACGGCTCGGGCCATCGCCATCAAGTGTGGCATCATCCATCCTGGGGAGGACTTCCTGTGTCTGGAGGGCAAAGAGTTCAACCGGAGGATCCGGAACGAGAAGGGGGAGGTGCGTGCATGCGTGCGCACCGGCGTGGGGGCTCCGCCAGGCGCGGGGGCCTGGTCCAGAGACCAGTCAGCATGCCTCCAAGCGCCCAGTGACTGCACGGATCCCCTCCCCCACCCTGAGCCTCGGGTCCCCCTTCCGACCGCGCTGACCCGTCCCCTCCCCTGTCCCCTCCAGGTTGAGCAGGAGCGAATCGACAAGATCTGGCCAAAGCTGAGGGTACTGGCTCGCTCCTCCCCCACTGACAAGCACACCTTGGTCAAAGGTAAGATGGGGGGAGGGGTAAGAGGCCAGTCACAGCCCCCCAAACCCCCCAGGCCCTCCAGTCCTGGGACTTGCAGCTTCTTTGTAGGGAGGGACAGGGCCCCCTTGGGATTCTCTATCCCGGGGACACTCTGAGCCATTCCTTTCTCTGCCTACAGAGAGCCAAGAACAGATATGGGGTTGTGCGGCTCTCTTGTGGCCTTCTAAGGAGCAGTGGGAGTAGATGGGCGATGGTGGCTCACACCTGTCATCCTAGCTACTCAGGAGCCTTAGATCTAAGGATCATGGTTCAAAGCCAGCCTAGACAAGGAAGTTCCTGAGACTCTTATCTCCAATTAGTCACCAGAAAACCAGAAGTGGCATCATGTCTTAATGGGCTTGAGCAAGAAAGCCCAGCAACAGCGCCCAGGCTCTGGGTTCAAGCCCCATGACCCCTCCCCCCAAAAAAAGCAGTAGGAGGCCTGTCTAGGGTCTCCAATTTATGGCTCAAGGGCTGGACATAGCCCTCATGTGTTTTCTTTGACTGATTTGGTGCCTTTTTCTGCTGAATCTGAGTTACTTTATACAGGCATTGCTTTTTTTGTTTTTGTTTTTGCTGGTCGTGGGGCTTGAACTCTGTGCCTGGGCGCTGTCCCTCAGCTCTTCAGCTCAAGGCTAGCGCTCTACCACTAGAGCCACAGAGCTACTTGCGGCTTTTTTTCTTTATGTGGTGCTGAGGAATCGAACCCAGGGCCTCAGGCATGCAAGGCAAGCGCTCTACCACTGAGCCACCTTCCCAGCCCAGACCTTGCTCTCCCGTTCTCTTCCTGGGCCGGCACTATGGTGAATTCTGGGCCTGCGCCCTGTCCCTGAGCTTTTCCCCGCAAGGCTGGCACTCTCCTACTTGAGCCACACCTGGACTCCAAGTTTTTCACTGCTGAATTGGAGATAAGCTTCTCATAGACTTTCCTGCCTGGGCCAGCTTCAAACCTCGATGCTCGGATCTGGTCCTCCGAGTCCCTCAGACCGGGGTGTGGCCAGCAGTGCCCGGCTGGGCCTCGCTCTCTGGAGTCCACATCCCCGTGGCTCCTCCTCATTCAAGCCCAGCTCCCTGTGCTCTTCAGCCCGGCCCCAGAGCTCCTGAGCTTGGGGGCCTTGGTCAGCCCGGTGTCTGAGGCCCAGGGGCCCAGAAGAGATGAGCTGTCCTGGAGCAGAATTCCAAACAGTGAGGCCCAAGGCCAGACTCCCCACCTCCCATCGCCCTCTCTCCCTCAGCACTGCAGGTCCCTCAGCCAACCCAGCAGAGCCAGAGGCTGCTTGGGAGGCGGAGAAGGGCATGGCGGGCTGCCTCTGGCCCTCTCGCAGCCTGCCCAGAGTGTTCAGTTTGGGCCGCGGGAGGCGGAGCGCTGGTGTCTCATGCTCCACACTGCTGCCCACGGGGAAATCCAGCATCCGGCCCGGAGCCCCAGGGAGAGAGGGAAAGGTGGGGGGCGGCTGGGACCCTGCAGACAGGCCAGAGGGCAGCCCATGGCTTGGGAGGGCCCCGGCTGTCCCATTGGAGCCTGCCAACCCGAGGGGCTTTTGTAGGAGGCGGAGTGGGTGCAGGGCCGGTGCCTGGATGCTGCAGGGGGCCGGGGCCGGGGTATCTGGGCACCGGGACTCGGATGGGGATAGCAGGGCAGCTCCTGGGGGGCATGAGGCCCAGCCGTGGGGCCTGATCAGGGGCGGCTAGAGGAGACGGCGTGCCTACCACGGAGCGCCTGTCCTCCACGCGTCTGCCTGGCGTGGGCCGGGGACACCCACGGGAGGCCCCGGCTGCCAGCCGATGACCGCGTGCGTCTGGCCTGGGCAGCCTGCATAGCGACTGGGACCAAGGACAGGGCTGTGAGCAGGCGCATGGGTAGGAAGACCCAGGACAAGAGAAGAGGCCGGACAGTCAAGGCCAGAGCTAGAAACAGGGCTGGGACGATTCGATGCTCGCTGCTCTGAGACGCCAGGCAGAGAGAGAATGATTCTCGGCAGGGGGGGTGCTTGGAGGTCTCTAGCGACCCTGTGGCTGCTGGGCAGGGGAGGAGGGGCTGGGGGGGTCTGGCGACCCTGTGGCTGCTGGGCAGGGGACGGGGCTGGGACTGGGGGGTCTCTGGTGACCCTGTGGCTGCTGGGCAGGGGCAGGCTAGAGAGGACCCCCCAAGGTAGTAATGAGCTGCCAGCAACAGAGGAGAAGGGGTCCCGGGTTTCAGTGGATGTTGGAGGCAGAGATGGAGGCCTTGGCGGTACGCTCCACTCACCGTGGGACATACACATTTGGATCCCACCCACGGGCATCTCTGCCGGAAGCCCCAGGATTCATGAGCCCCACAAGCTGCCAGTCCCCGTGGGTGACTTCACGCACGCTTTTGGGCTGGTCTGCAGCAAGCCCGGGGCCGTTGGTTCGTGCGATCTGGCTGGATGTCTGACTGAGGATGGAAGGCTGTGGGAGGTCGAGGCCTCCTTGGAGATGACCGGACCCCCCCGACACCAGATGGCGGTGGGGCAGGAGGAGCCCTGGGCAGGCAGAGAGGCCCGGGCTGGCCAGGGGACCAGGGGATCCTGGTTTAGGGTGGAGCGGCTTCTGGCGTGGTCCAGGGAGGGGCTGAACGTGCTCTCCCCCTCTGCAGGCATCATCGACAGCACGCACACGGAGCAGAGGCAGGTGGTGGCCGTGACAGGAGACGGGACCAATGACGGGCCCGCACTCAAGAAGGCCGACGTGGGCTTTGCCATGGTAGGAGCGGCTTATGGGAGCCCTGGGGCGGGCGGGGGGGGGGGGGGGCGGGAGCTCACAGGCAAGCGTGGACTGCATAGATCTGTGCTGACAGAGGGGCTTCCTGATTCAGAGCGAGCGAGCCGGGGGGGGGGGGGGCGTCTGGCTCTGCTGGTCCCATCGAGGCAGGGCTGGGGATGCAGACACCGCTCAGAGCCGCCCCCCGCCAGGCTCCGGTCCTCCCTTCCCCCCCATAGGGCATCGCGGGCACGGACGTGGCCAAGGAGGCGTCGGACATCATCCTGACGGACGACAACTTCAGCAGCATCGTGAAGGCGGTGATGTGGGGCCGGAACGTTTACGACAGCATCTCCAAGTTCCTGCAGTTCCAGCTCACCGTCAACGTGGTGGCCGTCATCGTGGCCTTCACGGGCGCGTGCATCACACAGGTGGGCCCCGCGTCCCGCGGCGGGGGGGACGGGGGTCCCCAGGGCGCTCGAGGGCGTCTGCGACCACCAGCCTCCTGCAGTGGGGGTCATGAGGGAGGTGGCAGGCCGAGGGGACGGGCGTCGGGCTCGAGCCCCAGCTGCAGAGTCTGGGCTCCCTGCCCCCCCAGTCTCAGGAGTGGAGGTCAGGAAAGGCCAGGTCGGGGCTGTATCCACATCACACCTGTGATCTTGGCCTCCTTAGAGGCTGAAGTAAGGCTCCGCTCCAGCTTGACCTGGCTTTGGAACAGCCAAGCACTGGCCCTGCCGCTCCAAGCCTCCTGGGGCTGTGTCCACTCCCGCCTCCCTCCAGCTGGGGCTGGGGAGGGCACGGGGAGGGGGACCCCTTAGCCCAGAGTGATCCTGGGGAGACCTGACCCTCCCAGCTGCAGTCCCAAGGTCCCCGTGGCCCTGGGGACACGGCCCTATCTTGCACTGTAGAGATGACCATGGCAGCGGCCACTACCCCAGCTCTAAGGGTCAGAGTCCCTCCCCCCCCCCTTCCCCAGGGGTAGCATTAGTCAGGGGGCGGTTTGGCCTCTCCCTTCTGCTCCCAGGGCCTCTCCACTGATCTGTGGGTGTGGTGCTCCCTCTAGTGGCGTCTTGGAGCTACTGCATGGCAGCAGTGAGGGGCTTCTTGGAGACCAACTGGTACCAGTAGGGACAAAGGGACACTGAGGTTTGGGATCCTCAGATGGGTGGGCTGTATATCACTGAAGATGCCTGAGGGTGCAGCTGAGCCAGGGTGGGTGGGCTGGATGGAGCGGGCTGATAGAAGCGGGGAACCCACAGAAAGGGGGCAGGGGAGAGGAAAGCAGCCTGCTGGAGCTGCTCAGCTCACAGGGTGGGTGGGCGTCCGGGAGGGGCTGCTCCCCCGAGACGGACAGGACCACAGGGAGAGGTCTGGGCTGGAGGAGGGTCATGCAGGGGCAGGGTGGCAAGGCGTGGACAGAACAGAGTGGTCACGGGGTCTTGGGAACTAGGAGGAGGAAGAAAAGGGGCCTGGGGCCAGTGGGAAGGCCGGTAGGACAGGGCCATATGCCTGGCGGGGGGGGGCTAAGTGGGGGCAGTTCTGCACCTTCTCCAGAGTTTTCTAGGACTTGCCACGCACCTGCTCAGAAGCCTAAAGTCAGGGCCGCCCCTGGCTGCCACGGGAGCCTGCTGAGACCCCCTGCAGTGGCCACTCCGCCTCTGTGACCTTCCTCTCCCCGCCCCGCCCCAGGACTCCCCTCTGAAGGCCGTGCAGATGCTCTGGGTGAACCTCATCATGGACACATTCGCCTCGCTGGCGCTGGCCACTGAGCCGCCCACAGAGACCCTGCTCCTGAGGAAGCCGTACGGCCGCAACAAGCCGCTCATCTCCCGGACCATGATGAAGAACATTCTGGGCCACGCCGTGTACCAGCTCACCCTCATCTTCACGCTGCTCTTTGTGGGTGAGCCCACACCTCCCATGGGTGGCCCAGCAGCACCTTCCGGCCACACCACAGCCCAGACCCAGGATCTGGATTCACATCCATCTCCCTGTGTCATTCCTGGGGAGACTGAGGCTTAGAGAGGGAGCATAGGAGCTGGCGGTGACACCGGGAGCTTGGCACAGAGCTGGGCCCCAACCCGACCCCAGCCAGGCACCTGCGCTGATGGCAGTGCCAGGACACACCGCGCAAGCCAGCACCCCGGACTGGTGGCTGCCCCAGCTCAGCCTAGGGGAGACAAGGCGGGGGAAGGTAGCGCATTCCTTCTCTGAGCCCCTCCAGAGCCTCCTTACTCCAGGAAAGGCGACCACTAAGGAACTTCCCTTAGAGAAAAGCCCACGATCTCCAGGGGCCTCCACAGAGTCCACCTCCTTCCCCTCTCCAGCCAGCTTTCTACCTCTGTGCTGAAATTCCTGAGATAATGAACTTAGAAACAGTTTGGGGACAGGGTGCCGATGGCTCACGCCTGAAATCCCAGCTCCTCAGGAGGCTGAGATCTGAGGATCACAGTTCAAAACCAGCCCGGGCAGGAAAGTCAGGAGACTTAACTCCAGTTAACCACCAGAAAAATGGTGCTGTGGCTCAAAGTGGTAGAGTGCTAGGCTTGAGCTAAAGAGCTCAGGGACAGTGCCCAATAAACTCGTGCGTGGTAAGGTGAAAATATCATCAGCTTTCCCCGTGAAGTGTAAAAAAGCTTTTGAGGAGAGGAAGTCAGTTTGGAGATTCCCGTCCATGATCCTTTGGGCCTGTGGGGAGACAGCACAATCTGACGGGAGGGTGCGGTGCAGGAAAACTGCTCACCCTCAGCCAGGAAGCAGAGAGAGGAGTGGGCCAGGGTCCCACAGTCCCCTTCAAGGACATGCTCCCAGTGAATGTGACATTTCCACCCAGCCCTGCCTCTAAAGGCTTCCACACGTCCCAACTGGACCACGCCTGCAGACATGGGCCTCTGGGCACTTTGAAACCACAGTGGCTCTCATGAGTATCCCTCTTCATGAGGTCCAGATGCATTTGGCAGTTTAGGGGGTGAGTGTGTATGTGCTGGTCCTGGAGCTTGAACTCAGGGCCTGGGCGCTGTCCCTGAGCTTTTTGTGCTCAAGGCTAGCATTCCATCACTTGAGCCACAGCTCCACTTCTAGCTTTTTGGTGGTTACCTGGAGATAGGAGACTCACCGCCTTTTTTGCCTGAGCTAGCTTCGAACCTCCATCCTCAGATCTCAACCTCCTGAGCTCACCACCCGCGCGGCAAGGGTCACCTTTCATGCAGTTGCCTGCTACCTTGGTAGCAGGTGCCCTGATTTTCTCAGGTCTCCACACAGAAGGTAGAAGTTCCCCATTCCCCTGGCCTTCTTCCTGGAAGAGAGCCGAGCCCTTGCTCACCAGCCAGACATCCACAGGCCTCCAGCAACTCAAAAGCCCCAGTGTCTCTGTGTGTGGGGGGTGGGGGGTGATTGCTCTCCTGGCCACTGCCTTCAGCCCCGCCCCACCCTCTTGATTGGCAGGCGAGAAGATGTTCCAGATTGACAGCGGGCGGAACGCACCGCTGCACTCCCCGCCCTCCGAGCACTACACCATCATCTTCAACACCTTCGTCATGATGCAGCTCTTCAACGAGATCAATGCCCGCAAGATCCACGGCGAGCGCAACGTCTTTGATGGCATCTTCCGGAACCCCATCTTCTGCACCATCGTGCTGGGCACCTTTGCCATTCAGGTAGCTGGGCCTCCACCCGTACCGGGACTGGGCGTGGGCACTGCCCCCACACACACACACACACACACTGCGGACCAGCCACTGAAAGTCTGTTCCTCTTCTGCCTCCTGTGCCCTTTGACCTGCAGATTGTGATCGTGCAGTTTGGTGGGAAGCCGTTCAGCTGTTCCCCGCTGCAGCTGGACCAGTGGATGTGGTGTATCTTCATTGGCTTAGGAGAGCTCGTCTGGGGCCAGGTATGTGTGAAAGAGCACTGGATAAGGAGTCCTGCGGCTCCAGGATTGGCCCTGGCTCTGCCATGGCATGCTGCTCCCGGCTGGACCAGGCGGCTCCCTTTGTGCTAGGTCTCATGGCTCTGATTGTTTGCTTGGTGTTTTCTTTCAACTGCATCAGAGATACTTGGTTTAACTTAAATCTAGTTGAGCCGGGCGCCAGTGGCTCACGCCTGTCACACTAGCTATTCAGGAGGCTGAGATCTGAGGATCGAAGTTCAGAGCCAGCCCAGGCAGGAAAGTCTGTGAGATTCTTATCTCCAGTAAACCACTAGAAAACCAGAAGTGGCGCTGTGGTCCAAGTGGTAGAGCGCTCACCTTGAGCTCAAGAGCTGAGGGACAGCGCCCAGGCCCAGAGTTCAAGCCCCATGACTGACCCAAAAAAAAAAAAAAAGTTTAAAAAGGAGTGCTCTATGACTAATGTGACTAGAAAATCAAGTCATGGGCCATAAACAGAAACTAAGCGAACACATAATGTAATAAATGTGATGTTTCTAAAGGCTTCCGGCCTGATGTCAACATGGACAAAAACAGGCTCAGTGAGGTGTCTGGGCACACACCTATGATCCCAGAACTCAGGAGGCTGAGGCAGGAGGATTGGGAGTTCAAGGCCAGCCTGAGCTACATAATGAGACCCTGTCTCAAAAAGCTACCCCTGTAAAAAAGAAAAAGAAAAGAAAAGACGAGTCAGTCGATCCCTTCCCTACATTCGCTCAAGTTCCAGGCCTGTGTGTATGTGTCCCCACACACACTCACGCACACACACGCCATCCACGCGCGTGTGTGCGGGTGCGTGTGCACCTGCACCCGTGCACATGCGCCCCATTGCTCTGACAGCTTGCGCAGCTGAGTCTCGTGACCCAGCACACTGCTTGGGTTTAGGCGTCCAGAGCAAAGGGTGGGCGAGGAGGTGAGGAGGCCCTGACCCTGGCTGCCGCGTCCCTTGCAGGTCATTGCCACCATCCCCACGAGTAGGCTCACATTCCTGAAGGAGGCGGGCAGGCTCACGCAGAAGGAGGAGACCCCCGAGGAGGAGCTCAACGAGGATGTGGAGGAGATCGACCACGCCGAGCGGGAGCTGCGTCGTGGCCAGATCCTGTGGTTCCGGGGCCTGAACCGCATCCAGACGCAGGTGTGACACCTTCCCGGGCTGGGCACAGGTGGCAGGGCGAGTGTGCACAAGCCCCCGGGGCCGGTGCTGCGCCCAGGGAGGGGGAGTGGCCGCAGAGTGGCCACCGGGCCACAGAGCAGCCCCCAGCGGCTCACCGGCCACCTGCGCACTGTTCCCGACACACATGCTCTCCCAGAAACACTATCCCCCGCCCCCACCCCACCCCATGCCCAGCAAGGGGCTCCGTGGGACCCCGCCCGCTGTGGGACCCAGGGAGTGCCCCTGAGAGGGCAGGGAGCGGCGACTCCAGGAGCCAAGCCACCGCCGTGGCTGGGGGCAGCATTTCCCCCAGGAAGGGCTGGAGGCAGGCTGCAAGCCAGGGGCCCCGGGTTCTCCCTGCCCCCCCCCCACACCCCTACACACAGATGGACACAAGCCCTCAACCTCCACAAGGAACGCCACCTGTGCCCTGCCGGGCCAGGTCTGAGGGCTCTGGGAGACCAAGGTCCAGGTCCACAGGAGCACACGTGCACACATGCATGCCCCAGTCACGCGGGGACACGCGTGCGCAGTACCCGCTCGAGAGAGGCAGGCTCCTTCCCAGAGCACCCCGTGCAGCCTCCATCTGGCATCCTTCCCGCGCGCATGCGCGTGGAGACCCCTCCCGTGGGCCAGGCGGAGTCTCCAGGTGGGCTGTAGGAAAGGGAGAGTGGGAGTTGTTGACCGGACAGACCGGGGCGGGGGTGGGGGGGTTGGAGCTCCCCCCAGGGGCTTCCCGGTGCTCCAGGGAGGTTATGTGAAGGGCAGCACCTCACCCCAGGCCCTGGCATGGCTGCTTCACCCCCACACCACCCGTGCCGGGCCTCAGATCCTTCGACTTCCACAGCCCCAGGAGATGGCCGGGGCAGGGCAGGGGGGCAGGGCAGGGGGGAGTGCCTGGGCTCTGCTGCTCTGACCAGGATGCCGGCAGCCCCACTTCCTCCGATGGACAGGACAGCTCTCAGAGCCTGGCCCTGAGCTGTCGTCGACGGCCCTGCAGGTTCCACCGTGGGAGGGAGCAGGACCGTCGTTTCCGAGTCCTTGTCACTGAGCATGCGCGCTGGCAGGGTCTCGGTCCTCCGGAGCACTGGGCATGCGCACCAGCAAGGTCTCGGTCCTCCGGAGCACTGGGCATGCGCACCAGCAAGGTCTCGGTCCTCCGGAGCACTGGGCATGCGCACCAGCAAGGTCTCGGTCCTCCGGAGCACTGGGCATGCGCACCAGCAAGGTCTCGGTCCTCCGGAGCACTGGGCATGGCACCAGCAAGGTCTCGGTCCTCCGGAGCACTGGGCATGCGCACCAGCAAGGTCTCGGTCCTCCGGAGCACTGGGCATGCGCACTCCCAGGGCCCAGCCTACCTCTCTCCTCCAGAGCACTAATGTGGTTCTGGTGCTTTGCCAATTACAGATAACCCTGCCAGGTAGATGGCTTTGCCCCTTCTTAAGGACAAGAGACGGGACTCAGAGAGGGACTTGCCCAAGGTCACCTAGCTAGTAAGTGACAAGAGCCGGAATTGGGGGCCAAGGTCTGTCCACCCCAGGGCCCCCTCCTCACCAGTACACTGGCTCTGCTCTAGGCCCAGAGTGAGGCAGCGTGGGTAGCTCTTCCCTCCCAGCGCCACACACAGCCCCTCCAGCCACTGCCCTGCAGCCCCTCGCACAGAGACAAGGCCTCCCCCTGCTCCCCTCCCCCCGGTCCTGGGGGAGCCTGGGGACTCCAGAGGGACCTGGAGCTGAGCAGACATCTCCCCAGCCCCGGAGTGTGTCTGGTATTGTCATTTTGATTTGAAGTGATGTTGTCGTTGTCGCCGTGGCTGCGGCTGCTCTGTGACATGGCGCCCGTCCGTCGTGTGGCTGTCCTGTGTGTTCTTCCGGCAACCTGTCTCGTTCTCTCCTCCGTTGCAGATTGAAGTAGTCAATACTTTCAAGAGCGGGGCCTCCTTCCAGGGGGCCCTGCGGAGACAGTCCTCCGTCACCAGCCAGAGCCAGGACGTAGCCAATCTCTCTAGCCCTAGTCGCGTGTCGTTGTCCAATGCTCTTTCCTCTCCGACCAGCCTTCCTCCTGCTGCAGCTGGGCGTGAGTGTGACACCTTTCCACCTCCGCTGGTGCCACCAGCACCAGCCCCCGGGCGGGCAGGGGCCGGGGAACCACACACGTGGTGGGGCTGAAGGGGTGCAGCCAGAGCAGAGGGTCGCAGCGGCCAGGAGTCAGAACTGAGCCGTGGGGTGCCAGACCAGGGTCAGCTGGGGTCACTGGATTGGAATGACCCGGGTAGGACTCATTAGGGCCTCGAGGGGTCCACCAGAGGGCGCCTGTGAGCCAGTGGCGCACAGAGGGGACGCCGTGGCCCTGTTGTACATTGTTAAGAAAGGCTGGGCCCGGGAGGGCCAAGGTTAGAGTCTGAGGAGAAGGGGGTCACAGCCAGTGGCAGAGAGGGCCAGTTGGGAGAGAGGCCCTGGCACACTGGTACCCTGATTAGGGATGGGGAGGTCACCGAAGGTCAGAGGTCACAGTCAGTAGTGTCTTTGCCCTCTACATACCCCACTCCCTGCACACCTGACCCCCTCAGCTGCCCTACGACCATCAGGAGATGGGACCTGTGCAGTTACTACCCTCCCTGAACGACGTGATGCCTGGGCTCAGGTAGACGAGGGTGGGACACACCTTGTCCGGGAGCTCTGGTCCTAACCTTCAGCCCCTCTTACCTGAGGGGATAGCCCGGGACTCCGAACCCTCCACCTTTCTCTGCCAAACACCTCCTCGCGCCATCATTTCTGGCCTGGATCACTCGGCTCTGGCTTTGTCCAGAACTTTCTTGGACCTCTCCATAGCTTCAGGCCCCAGAAGGGAGTGGACTCTCTTTTCTATCCTCCTCCAGTTAATCTGGCTCCCACAGTGCAAACAAAGGTGCCCCTCACTCTGCTCTTCCCAAAGGGAGATGGTGGGTTTGTCATCTCCACTAGCCTTCAGCTGGACCTCATCTCCACCTAATGCCACATACACACACACACACACACACACACACACACACACACACACACACACACCGTCCCGTCCCCACCCCCTAGCAGGGAAGGACCTGAGCTAACCCGCTGTGCCCCTCCCTGCGTCCCGTGAGCTTGCGTGCCAGCTGCCCTGCCAGGGGACCAGCTCTGTCCCCAGCACATAGCAGCCAAGAGGTCAAGATGCATTTGAGCAGGCGGTGCCCAAGCCATGTTCCGCTGAGAGTCTGTCCCTAGACCACTGCAGCTAAGAAGCCCCCCCAAAGCAGAATGGGTGACTCCCCCAGTCCCCAAGCCTCTGGCCTTGCTTAGCCCCCCCCCTTGTCTTGAAGTGCAGTGTCCCGCACGGAGACACCCCTGCAGAGGGCTCCTGTCCCCTCCCCTCAGCTGGCCCTCACTGCTGGCCTCAGGCTCGGAGCCCTGGCCCGCCTGGCTCAGCTTCTTTCCCGGTGTGTGGCACTCTACCCTGGAACATGACATTCCAGGCCCCCAGGCCTCCTTGAAGGTCCGGCCTCCATGCTGGCCTTCATCTTTGCTCTAAAAGGAAGAGCAGCCCTGATCTCAGCCGCATTACCCACCCATCCTTTGTCATTGGTGACGCACCTATTGCCCTAGGACGTGGTAAGTGGCCTGCGGAGACTGGGCCATCTTCACCCTCCCTCCGCCTTAGCCACCAAGCTGACCTCCCTCTGAGCCAGCTCAGCCTCCTCACGGCGGCGTCTTTGAGGTGCCTTTGGAGGCGCACTGGGGCAGAGGCCGTCTCTGGACCAGCGTGAGCAGCCCCCTGCTCCTTCTGGAGCGAATCCCCACCCCCTCTCGCTTCAGCAAACACTTTGGGATCACCATGGCCACCATGCAAATGCTAACTATGTCCCTTGGTCCTTTGCTTGGATGGTTTCTGAAATGTCACCTCCTGTGGTCTCTGGGACGCAGAGGACCCTGTGTGTAACAGGCCAGGTTCCACAGAAGCTGAGAATCCTCCTCCCCTCCGAGGGCATGCCGCAGAAGGCCAACCAGTCTGGTGGGGGGTGGGGAGACACAGGTGTGGCACCCACAGTCTGAGTGGGATCGTTTGGGGTCTGTAGCAGAGCAGATGGCTATGCAGCTACCAAAGAACCCAGCCCCGGCCCCGGCCCCGGCCCCTGAGTTATCGAGTTGACCCCAGAGGCCTAGAACAGGACAGCCTGTGTTGGGGCTGACTCTAACTCCTGACACGGAGGGAGAACCCTGCCCAGCCCGCACGCCCACCCCAGCACCGACAATGACGATGACGGCAGACAGGTGCCCGTCAGAAGTGGGATGTGTGGTCAGGCAGGTCCCGGGAGCCCAGGAAGGACCTGGCACCCTCCTCTCCACCCACGTACACAAAAGCTAGTTGGCTTTTCCCAGGGGTTCGCTGGCACCCCCGTATGGCACACACTTGAGCCACACTCAGCGTTTCTAGAGCTGCCTCCCCTTCACAGCCAAAATCCAAGCGGAGAGCGTGAAGGCCACAGAAGGCGAGGGACGGGCGGGAGGTCGGAGCAGCAGGTCTGTCTCCAAAGCCCCTCTTATTCCCCCACACACCCCAACTCATCACCATGTCCTGGGCGGTCCTCAGGCCTTGGGCGTGGAGGCTGCATGTCCCAGGCCTGTGGTCTCATAAGGGAGAAGGAGCCTCCTGGATGTGGAGGCCAGGCGGTGCCGCTTCAGGGACCTCAGCTCCCCGTGCAGGAACGGGGAGACGAGCCTCCTCCTGCAGGCGCCTGGACGGTGCTCAGCCCGGTCACCCAGGGCCCCGTCTCTCCTGCCTCAGATCCCTCAGATCCCTAACTCCTCCTCAGCCGTCTTTGGCCTTAGCAAGTCTGCGGTCCTCCATCCGGGAGAGTCTTCCAGACCCAGTAGAGCAGGCCCCCGAGCCAAACTGTGGGTGCTATACCTCAAGACGCAGGACACCCCCTTCAGACTCTGGGCTCTAAGGGTCCTCGGGTGAGGAGTTGGTGCTGTCAGGGAGAGAAATCAGACAGAAGGAGCCAGGAAGGAAAGCTGGGCGCTCTTAGCGTTTGTTTGGGTGTTTGGGGTTTTTTTTGGTGACTAATTTAGTATGACCTTGGGTTGGTAAGAAAATCGCAAATGGCTTTCAGGCCTTGGGGGGGAGGGCCCCCGGACCTCCCCGCTGTCTGAATATTCCCTGTGTTTGTTTCCCTAGAGGGCTAGACAACCCTGGACACAGAGTTCAGCAAGAGAGAGTGAAATTAAAAGAGGTTGTGAGTCTTTAACCTTGAGCCTGAAATGAATGTGAATGAAACCCAGCCTCTTGGCTTCCTTGAAGCCGGGTAAACATTCGAGTATGTGGGGACCCACCTCCGCAGGGCCCAGGGCTCCCCGCCCCGCGCATAGATAGATGAACCCAAATGTCTGCAGTCTTACCCGCCAGCTTCCTGTCCATCCCTTCCTGTCCCCCCCTCCCCACAACGCGGCTTCTGCCCCAAATACCTCCTTTATGCCAGGCAGGGAGGGAGAAGGAAGCGTCTGGGAGTGTGGGGGGTTTTTTCTGCTTAGATTTTTTTTCTCTATTTCAGTCGCAGAGAACGAAGTAGACTTGAGATGCCTGGCAGGGCCCCACCGGTCTCGCCCCCAGTGTTGTCCCAACAGTTCATTCTTTCTGTTGTCTCCATGCCAAAGGGCGGGCGGAGGGCTCCATCTCATTGTGTGTCTCCCTGCATTGTCAGTCACATGACAGAGGCCTACCATGTCTCCTCCCCCCCACCCCCACACCCACACACGTGCTTTCTCCAGCCCCTGTTTTATTGTGCCGAGCCCTAGGGCCGGACAGCCACAGCGGTCACTATCCCCATGTGACAGATGGGAACACTGAGGCCTCCGTGCGTTTTTCATGTTATTTTGTTTCCACGTATTCAGATACAATGGAGATCAGAGCCACAGTCGCCTCTGCAGAGGCAGGACCAGGCAGTCTGGCAGAGGTAGCTCAGGGCGTCGAAAGTGGCTCTACCATACAAAGAATCAGGACAGAGGCACCAGCCGGCTGGTTCCTGTTGCCCTTATTTAAAGCATGATTCCCACAAGTGGGGCTGGGCTCCCCGGAGTCTCCAGCACAAAGGACAAGGGACAGAGGTGCCTTATAGAAGAATGACGGGAAGGGTGACATTGATCAGATGCCTTACATTTATAAACTGATGGATTGAGCCAGGTGCCAATGGCCCATGCCTGTCATCCTAGCTACTCAGGAGGCTGAGATCTGAGGATCCCAGTTCAAAGCCAGCCCAGGCAGGAAAGTCTGTGAGATTCTTATCTCCAGTTAACCACCAAAAGCTGGAAATGGAGCTGTGGCTCAAGCAGTATAGTGCTAGCCTTGAGCAAAAGAACTCAAGGGCAGGAAGTGGCGCTGTGGTTCAAGTGGTAGAGTGCTAACCTTGAGCTGAAGAGCTGCGGGACAGTGCCCAGGCCAAGAGTTCAAGTCCCACGACCAACCAAAAACAAAACTCAAGGGCAATGCCCAGGCTCTGAGTTCAAGCCTAAGTACCGGCACAAATATATATATATACATATATATATATTTACATATTAAATTGAAACCCCAACTATTTAAAGATATTAATTTTTTTAAGACAAGCAGAAGGCAGCTAATTAATCACTACTGCCTGACAGCAAAGGAGGGAAGGTAACTGGCAGGGAAACACTATCACAGCCTAGAATGTTGCACAAACCCAAGCTCGTTGACTGGTGAAGATCAAGTTGAGCTGTCTGCCCTCTGACTTAGCTGGCAGAGGCGCCTTCAGTGAGCCTTAGAAACAGGGACCTGGAGGCTGGCGATGTGGCTTTTAGAGTGCTTGCCTAGCATCCATGAAGCCCTGGGTTCAGTACCATATAAATGGAGGGGAAAAAAGCTGGAAGTGGCAGTGTGAATCAAGTGATAGAGTGCTAACCTTGAGCAAAAGCAGCTCAGGGTCAACGCCCAGGCCCTGAGTTCCAGCCCCAGGACTGACCAAAAAAAAAGAAAGAAAAAGAGGAGTCTCAGGCTCAGCAGAGACAGAGTCATCCCGCACAGCCATCTAAAACCTTCCCCTGCATGGGGAAGGGGTTCCCTCACCGTGCTCCACAGAGGAATCCCCATGGGTTTAGCTGAGCTCAACTCTGGGACTCCCGGGACCTCCACACGACCATACACCCCCTCATGCCGCCCCTGCTGCCCCAAGGACCTCCTGCCCCAGCCCAGAGACCCATGCCTCAGCCACCAAAGCTCAGCCCCCACCACTCAGGGCCACCTGCCTTCCCCACCCCTCTCTCTGCTCTGAGCTGAGAAGACCCCAAGACAGAGACACTACTGTTCCCCTTACCCCCAAGAAGGCAGGACGGAGCACCAGCAGAGGTGCCAGGCTGGCCACAGCCCAAGCAAAAGCATCTGCTGCTCCTTTTCCAAGTCTAGTTCTGTCCTCCAGCCTCAGAGACCCAGGTGCAGGCTCCCATTCTTCAGGGGGGGAAAAACTGAGGCCCAGGACCCATGGTTCACAGCTAGACATACCATCTTGTGACCTAGATCCTCACCAAGCCAACCCCTCTGGGCAGGCTGGGTCTGGCCATCCAATTCTGGCCTCATTGTTTGGTTTTGTATTTTTAAAGCATGAATCCAGAGATAGACAAAGCACCTCTTCCCCTTTCCCCCAGGAAATAGGGGACTCCCCCCAAAAAAAGAAAAGCAAGTGCCCTTGTCTGGCCAGGGCTTTCAGTCTATACTCGAGTGTTTACCTCCCAAATGCATGAAGGAAAGAAATGCTGGGTACAAAAACCGACCTCTGTTCACATTGTCCAGGCATCCAAGTGTCAGTGTGGCCGTCTGTCTGTCTCTGTGTGTGTGTGTGCCGTGTGGCTCCTGACCCCACACTGTGGCATGCCCCCCCCCCCCCCCGCCGTGCTTTCTGGCTGCCTCGCTCTGCCCTGCGGAAGCCCCGGGTTGCTGGTCCGCTTTGCCGCTTTGCCCCCGTGAGCCCTCCTGTCTCTCTTTCTGTGCCTGTGTCACCTTCACTGTCACCTGCTCTGTGTGGTTTGGTTGGTTTTGGGGGTTTTCGTTGTTTTGTTTTTAATTGTGTGTATGCTTGTTGTTTTTTTTTCTTTTAAAGAGTAATTTGCTTTCAAATAGCCTCTCCCTCCCCAGCCCACCGCACTCGCTGCAAGGTTGAACATGGCTTAACATCAACAAGGCTTTCCTTAAGTCTCTCACTTAGGTCGGGTGCCCTCCAGAGTGGACTCCCTTCTGCTACTGTGCACAGCACCTTCATCATAGTACTAATAACTGAGTTCTGGCCCAAACCAAAGCCACTCAAAACCCAAACTCATGGACGCACCACCTGAGCCCGCCTCCCCCCCCCTCCCTCCATCACACCATTGACTGCGGGCTGCAGCCTGCCTGTCCTGCGCCCTCCTCCTGCCCTCCTCCTGCCCTCCTCCTGCCCTCCTCCTGCCCTCTCCTCCTCCACGCCCCCAACCTGCCACCTGCAGTCCCGGCCAGGCCGTGCCCCCCCCCGAGTCACGTGTTTCCCTTTGCAGATCCGCGTGGTGAAGGCGTTCCGTAGCTCTCTCTACGAAGGGTTAGAAAAGCCTGAGTCTCGAACCTCCATCCATAACTTCATGGCTCATCCCGAATTCCGGATCGAAGACCCCCAGCCCCACATCCCCCTCATCGACGACACCGACCTGGAAGAAGATGGGGCCCTCAAGCAGAACTCGAGCCCGCCGTCCTCGCTCAACAAGAACAACAGCGCCATCGACAGCGGGATCAACCTGACCACCGACACGAGCAAATCAGCTACCTCTTCAAGTCCAGGGAGCCCTATCCACAGCCTGGAGACGTCGCTTTAGCTGAGCCCCCAGGCCCGTCCTCCAGGACCGCCCGCCGCCTGCCCCCCGCCTCCGGGCAGCGCCCCAGGCGCCACTCACCGCACAGCAAGGAGCGAGAGCAGGAAAGCTACCTGAGAGGGACTCAGCTTCCACCCACAGACCCTTTCTCTCTGGCTGCGATGCTGTTTGAACTCTTTTCAAACCCTGCAAGGGGCAGGGTCCCCTGGGGGGGGGGGGGGGACATCCGGAGCCAACAAGTGGGATTGTCCCAGAACAAGCCCTTCCTGACTCCTCCCCACCCACAGACATGGGGCCAGCCGTGCACCTGCTCCGGCCGCCACGGCTCCCCCTCCCTCACGCATGAATGTACTGGACACTTCCCGTCCTCCCCCCCACGGTTGGTTCTGGGGGAGGGGTTGAGGAGGGAGGGGTGGTTTGTTTTCTTAGGTGGGAACAGCAAACAAGACTCTTTTCTGAGACTATTTATCCAATTCACTGATCTGTGAGTTTTTGAGAAAAAAAAATGCTTGCACAGCATGGGTCCAGTTGTATAGATTAATTTAATAACTTTTTTTGTTTCGAAATTGCAGAGTTTAACTTGCCTCGTAGATTAGCACCAATGGAACCCAAGAAATCCATAGACACTCACGAGGTTATATCCATTTCTTTGTTTATCTATATCAACGTATGCTCCTTCAAGACTGAATACGTCCATATAGATAGGTAGATATATATATATATTATATAAATATATATACATGGATCTATAAAGTTTCTTTGCCGGCATGTTGCCTTGTTTCTGCTTAAATTGCTCTATTTTAACTTATTTATGTCCTAAAAAAAAAACAAAACAAAAAAGAAGAATGTAATTTGTTTACAACCCTGTAGATAACATCTTTGGCTATTTGTACAGTTTAAGAGCAGCTCAGCCCCAACAGACATTTGCCCTGGATTGCATTCTTGATTTTCTTACAATGGCCATGTTTTTTGCCTGCTATTTCCATTCAATGACATCACTACCACAAGAAGCTCAGGCAGAAGCCAGATGTGGAGGAACGCGACCCCCCCACACACACCCCCGCTCTGTAGACGAAGGAGAAGAGGAGAGAAGCTTTCCTGGGCCCAGCACACGTGCGGATCCCCGCAAAGCACCAGGGGAAGACTTTTCTCTCAATGAAACTCACTTGAGTTTACCAAGAGCGTTAAAAAACAAAAACAAAAAAACAAGTTGTCTTTGGCACTGTCTATCAGAGGTTGAGGTAGTGTTAAGATATAAATGCTATTGTGTTGATTTTTTTTTAGTTAGGAATTTAGTTTATTTCTTATACTTAAAGAAAGAGGAGAGAGAGAGAGAAAGAGAGAGAGAGAGAGCGAGAGGGAGAGAGGGCCAGCGGAGCTGTTGGTCTATGGGATGAGTTGGCGTATGGCTTGCTGCTTTTTTATTTTTGAAGAATTGCCTTCTCTGCACTGTTTAGATCCGAATGAGCCTGATGATGTGTATATTGAGATGTATTCAGTGTGATTTTTTTAAAAAAAGAAACCAAATTGTCTTCCTGTGGTCACAATATATACTGTAGCCTTTTAACAACAAGTCTTGCTTTCCCAGACAGAAAGCCATTCTGCACCCTTCCCCATCTCACAGGTGAGAAAAGGTGGCTATCCCCGCCCCACCCCCGGACAACCACGGCACTAGTAATCTCACTTAATAAGAGCTTATTTAATTGTCTGTCAGCTTCTTAACTGCTAAGCACTTTGTGGGTCTCAGCTTTTTTCATAAAAGAACTTTTGTATTTAATACAAAGTTTGCTTTGAGACTTTTCAGCATACGATCTTTTTCCATAAACTTGTACAGTGCAAAAGACATTTTGAATACCATGATCGATGATGTCCCATGCTTCCAGGAAAACCAAACACTCCACCTCGCCTGCAAAATCCATTCTTCACACGGACCCTCCGCACAGCTGCCCCACCCCCACCCCCAGGCCAGAGGACTCTTCCGCTCACCAGATGAGAGCCACCCGGGAAAAGAGCCATAGTCAGTTGGGAGGGCCACGTCTGCACAGCTGTGGAAAACAAAACAAAACTTGATGGGTTTGGAGTTCAAAGTCAGCCCATCCCACCTGGCAAAATCTTCCTTTGAGGAAGACCTTCTGGGTGAAGAGCACCACTGGAAGGCCGCGAAGGGCTCCGAAGGTCACGCGAAGGGCTCCGAATGTACCTAGTCCCAGAGGGACACCAGCCTTTGGATTTGCTGATTGGATTCTACTACAAACACCACCAAAGCCAGCCCCCACCCCCCGCCTGAGGAAGGAAAGGAACCTGGGCGCCCCTGGAACTGAGCACGGCGGCTTGTTTCCGTTTTGTGTCTGGAGTTTTTTTTCTTGCACTTCTCCTCTTCCCGCGATCACGTCTCCACGCACGGTGACCTCATTCCACGACAACACCCGGTTCCCTAGGATCTTGGAGCTGCGATGCAAGGAACACCGAAGCCAGCTTGGGGGACAGGAGCCACAGAAGGTGCCGAGGAGGCCGCGCCCTGCTACTGGTCTCTTTTTGTCAAGGATGATGGTTGATCACACACGCGTGCACGCACGTGTGCGCACACACACAGACCCGCAGACGCCTCCCGTTCACACACCTGCACACGTCCACCCACGCGTGCACCACGCACACAGGGAACGGTGTGTCGGTCTTCACTGTAGTACACAAAGCTTGCACTCTGCGTCCTATTATCTAGCAGCATGGGGTACGTTTTGGCAGTTCACCCCATTAGGGGGTCAATAATTTATGACCATTCATCTGTTTTTATGAATTTTTTTATCTAGACAATAACTGTAAATAAAGAACTCACCGTCTCTGTTCATTTAATACTATGCAATGGTCAATGCTTCCAGCCGCTGGCCTCCCGCCCCACGCGGTGGTTCTGTCTGTGGTTTCAAAGGCAAAACAAAAAAGAAAGAAAATCTAGGAAAGCTGCCCTCTGGGAGGTAAGCTCTTTTCTAGGGAGACCATGCCCCCTTCTTTTCTGCCCTGGGGTTCAACTCTATCATCTCCCCTTATCCCAAGGAAGAGGGCCAAGCCAGGGCCGCACTCCGGGACCCCAGTCAGCTGCCTGTCGAGGAGCGGAAGCCGCCCCTCAGCAAGGGCTTTCCAGACTCAGAACAGCCGCCCTGTCCCAGTCCCTTGCCGCCCCGCCCCAGCAGCACAGAGGGAGAAGGGGCACCCCGCTACTGAGAAGGGGCTGATGATGCTGACCGTCCCACAGCCGGCTGGGGCTCACAGCCTGTCTTCCCGGCCCCTCCTTGGCACCCCGCCCTCCTCCCCAGCCATCGTCCCCCAAGGAGGGGCCAGCTTCCAGGCTTCCTCTTCTCCTCAGCGTGGCACTGGCACCAGCTGTCACTACCCCCACGTTAGAATCTCTCACCGGATGGAGTGAGCCCCTTTCACTCTTCCTGTGCAGAAGTCAGTTATTCTGACGGGAAAGCTCAGATTCTACGAAGTCCTCTACGCTCGGCCCCGCTCCCACCCCAGATCTGAGCCCCAGCACTGAGCGTGCCCTGTCTCCCGCACTGTCACTACTGCCTACTCGGGACCACCACGTGCAGAGCACCTGCCAGAAGGGACAGAACGGTCACCCCGAGTCGCTGGCCATCCCGTAAGCGCGAGGCTGTCAGAAGCCAGCAAGCCCTCACTCCACCTTAGTCTGGGGACCAGAGTCACCTCCCGAGACTGTGCTAGGTCACCCTTCCCTCCATCCTGTCCCCATGGGCAAGAAGGGCTCCCCTGGAGCTGGAGCCGGAGCCCCGAGAGCCGTCCCACAATGCCCAGCATAGAGAGCTACACTGCCGGCCTCTCCTTTCCCATCCGCCCTTTGTTTGTTTGTTTTCTTGGGGTCACCTCTACTTGTTCTTTGATTCTGAGCTTCAGCCCTTTAGAAGATGCAGAAAATTCTTGTCTGGATGGCCTCAGCACCCTCATCCTGGCCCCCATTTTCTCCCTCCACCTCTACCTGCCACCCTAGTACATACTCTGTACATACCCAGCAGCAGGGGGTGCTCCGGGGCCTTCCACAGGATCAGACAACAGGAAGTTGGCAGGCATCAAGCCCTTCCACTTTGTTTTGGGGTCAGGGTCTCTCCGGGTCTTCAGCATCTTCATTCCCTCCTCCCAAAAAGGAGAGGTTCCAGGCTGCTCTGGACCGTCCTGCAGCCCCTCGGTGTGTTTTGTAACGTCTGTGGTGCTCTTCCTCCCCAGCCTGTCCCCTCTGGGGTCCCCACACTGGCTAACTCTTACTTGCACATCTTTTATCACAGAGGAGCGAGGAGGCAATGCAGCTTCCACGAAGCTGCCAGGGCTCCGGGGGTGGGGGAGAGCTCTGGGACTGGAAAGTGACTGTGCTCTTATTGTACACTCTTTATTTCTCTGTATCTCTGGCTTGTGCTATTTGTAATGAATGGGATTTGTCTGCCTTTCAACACTATAACTGAGCAATAATAATAAACGCACACGTGGAAACGCAGGCACGGTACCCATCCCAAGACCTTTTTCCGAGAACAGTGGGGAATCCACCCTTGGTGGATTGAACTCAGCGAAGTCGAGTGTGTGGTTGGGAAAGGCACCATGCCTCTGGAGGGTGGCAAGTTTAACAGCCGTGAGCCACGAACCCACCAGGGCTGGCTGAACATCTCAGAAAGGAAGGCTTGGGGCACGGGGGCTCAGGAGAAGGTCAGAGGCAGGTGGCCGGGAGGTAGCGGCACATGTGGGAAAAAGCTAAGAAAGACACGAATTTGGGGTCTGGAATAAAGGAGAGGGAGGGATTGGGAACTAGGACACTGCGGAGAAATGAGGCAGAGGGGAGGCTGGTACCCTAGGAGTTTGACCTCTGCAAACCTGCACAGAGCAGGCACTGTGGAAAAGCAGCATGCGAGAGCCAGGCACCATTTTCAGCCTTGATCCAACACTTGGGAGTTCTGTGCACCCAATTCCAGGTCTGCTCACTGAATCTCAGCATCAGCTTTTAGAGACAGTACTACAGGGCAGG